GCAGTGAAGGAGTCTTTTTCGACCCTATAAACCATATATATTCTTGATCAGCACCAACAGCCCAGTCGTTCTAGCCATGTTTGGTCAAAAAATAATTTTTTACATTTTTCCGAAAATTGGAAATTTTATAAGGGGTTACATCATTAAAATTGCCAAAATTTGACAAAAAATAGAATTTTTATATTTAAAAACTGAGTATGCAGCTTTGTTAATCTACTAAAAACTAGCATAGAACAGCTTTCCGAATTAAAATGATTTAATTTTTGGCTTAGTTATGAGTTTTTTCAAACTATGATTTTTCGGAAAAATTGTCTGTTTTTATACCTTTTTGCCTGTTTTTTTAATTTCAGTCAGAAACTTATAGCAGCATCAACAAACGCAGTATGCAGATTTGTTAGTGCTATAAAAACTTGCACAGAAAAGTTTTCCGAATCAAAATTAATGCTATTTTGGCTTAATTATGATGTTTGGAAAACCCAGATTATTTAAGAAAATTGTCTGTTTTTATACCTTTTTGCAGAGTATAGCTTCAGTCAGAAGATTAAAACGCAGTGAAGGAGTCTTTTCGACCCTATAAACCATATATATTCTTGATCAGCACCAACAGCCCAGTCGTTCTAGCCATGTTTGGTCAAAAAATAATTTTTTACATTTTTCCGAAAATTGGAAATTTTATAAGGGTTACATCATTAAAATTGCCAAAATTGACAAAAATAGATTTTTATATTTAAAAACTGAGTATGCAGCTTTGTTAATCTACTAAAAACTAGCATAGAACAGCTTTCCGAATTAAAATGATTTAATTTTTGGCTTAGTTATGAGTTTTTTCAAACTATGATTTTCGGAAAAATTGTCTGTTTTTATACCTTTTTGCCTGTTTTTTTAATTTCAGTCAGAAACTTATAGCAGCATCAACAAACGCAGTATGCAGATTTGTTAGTGCTATAAAAACTTGCACAGAAAAGTTTTCCGAATCAAAATTAATGCTATTTTGGCTTAATTATGATGTTTGGAAAACCAGATTATTTAAGAAAATTGTCTGTTTTTATACCTTTTTGCAGAGTATAGCTTCAGTCAGAAGATTAAAACGCAGTGAAGGAGTCTTTTTCGACCCTATAAACCATATATATTCTTGATCAGCACCAACAGCCCAGTCGTTCTAGCCATGTTTGGTCAAAAATAATTTTTTTACATTTTTCCGAAATTGGAAATTTTATAAGGGGTTACATCATTAAAATTGCCAAAATTTGACAAAAATAGATTTTTTATATTTAAAAACTGAGTATGCAGCTTTGTTAATCTACTAAAAACTAGCATAGAACAGCTTTCCGAATTAAAATGATTTAATTTTTGGCTTAGTTATGAGTTTTTTCAAACTATGATTTTTCGGAAAAATTGTCTGTTTTTATACCTTTTTGCCTGTTTTTTTAATTTCAGTCAGAAACTTATAGCAGCATCAACAAACGCAGTATGCAGATTTGTTAGTGCTATAAAAACTTGCACAGAAAAGTTTTCCGAATCAAAATTAATGCTATTTTGGCTTAATTATGATGTTTGGAAAACCCAGATTATTTAAGAAAATTGTCTGTTTTTATACCTTTTTGCAGAGTATAGCTTCAGTCAGAAGATTAAAACGCAGTGAAGGAGTCTTTTTCGACCCTATAAACCATATATATTCTTGATCAGCACCAACAGCCCAGTCGTTCTAGCCATGTTTGGTCAAAAATAAATTTTTTACATTTTTCCGAAATTGGAAATTTATAGGGTTACATCATTAAAATTGCCAAAATTTGACAAAAAATAGAATTTTTTATATTTAAAAACTGAGTATGCAGCTTTGTTAATCTACTAAAAACTAGCATAGAACAGCTTTCCGAATTAAAATGATTTAATTTTTGGCTTAGTTATGAGTTTTTTCAAACTATGATTTTTCGGAAAAATTGTCTGTTTTTATACCTTTTTGCCTGTTTTTTTTAATTTCAGTCAGAAACTTATAGCAGCATCAACAAACGCAGTATGCAGATTTGTTAGTGCTATAAAAACTTGCACAGAAAAGTTTTCTGAATCAAAATTATTGCTATTTTGGCTTAATTATGATGTTTGGAAAACCCAGATTATTTAAGAAAATTGTCTGTTTCTAGACTCTCAAAAGGTATAAAAACAGACAATTTTCTTAAATAATCTGAGTTTTCCAAACATCATAATTAAGCCAAAATAGCATTAATTTTGATTCGGAAAACTTTTCTGTGCAAGTTTTTATAGCACTAACAAATCTGCATACTGCGTTTGTTGATGCTGCTATAAGTTTCTGACTGAAATTAAAAAAACAGGCAAAAAGGTATAAAAACAGACAATTTTTCCGAAAAATCATAGTTTGAAAAAACTCATAACTAAGCCAAAAATTAAATCATTTTAATTCGGAAAGCTGTTCTATGCTAGTTTTTAGTAGATTAACAAAGCTGCATACTCAGTTTTTAAATATAAAAAATTCTATTTTTTGTCAAATTTTGGCAATTTTAATGATGTAACCCCTTATAAAATTTCCAATTTTCGGAAAAATGTAAAAAATTTATTTTTTGACCAAACATGGCTAGAACGACTGGGCTGTTGGTGCTGATCAAGAATATATATGGTTATAGGGTCGAAAAAGACTCCTTCACTGCGTTTTAATCTTCTGACTGAAGCTATACTCTGCAAAAAGGTATAAAAACAGACAATTTTCTTAAATAATCTGGGTTTTCCAAATATCATAATTAAGCCAAAATAGCATTAATTTGATTCGGAAAACTTTTCTGTGCAAGTTTTTATAGCACTATCAAATCTGCATACTGCGTTTGTTGATGCTGCTATAAGTTTCTGACTGAAATTAAAAAAACAGGCAAAAAGGTATAAAAACAGACAATTTTTCCGAAAATCATAGTTTGAAAAAACTCATAACTAAGCCAAAAATTAAATCATTTTAATTCGGAAAGCTGTTCTATGCTAGTTTTTAGTAGATTAACAAAGCTGCATACTCAGTTTTTAAATATAAAAAATTCTATTTTTGTCAAATTTTGGCAATTTTAATGATGTAACCCCTTATAAAATTTCCAATTTTCGGAAAAATGTAAAAAATTTATTTTTTGACCAAACATGGCTAGAACGACTGGGCTGTTGGTGCTGATCAAGAATATATATGGTTTATAGGGTCGAAAAAGACTCCTTCACTGCGTTTTAATCTTCTGACTGAAGCTATACTCTGCAAAAAGGTATAAAAACAGACAATTTTCTTAAATAATCTGGTTTTCCAAACATCATAATTAAGCCAAAATAGCATTAATTTTGATTCGGAAAACTTTTCTGTGCAAGTTTTTATAGCACTAACAAATCTGCATACTGCGTTTGTTGATGCTGCTATAAGTTTCTGACTGAAATTAAAAAAACAGGCAAAAAGGTATAAAAACAGACAATTTTTCCGAAAAATCATAGTTTGAAAAAACTCATAACTAAGCCAAAAATTAAATCATTTTAATCGGAAAGCTGTTCTATGCTAGTTTTAGTAGATTAACAAAGCTGCATACTCAGTTTTTAAATATAAAAATTATATTTTTTGTCAAATTTTGGCAATTTTAATGATGTAACCCCTTATAAAATTTCCAATTTTCGGAAAAATGTAAAAATTTATTTTTGACCAAACATGGCTAGAACGACTGGGCTGTTGGTGCTGATCAAGAATATATATGGTTTATAGGGTCGAAAAAGACTCCTTCACTGCGTTTTAATCTTCTGACTGAAGCTATACTCTGCAAAAAGGTATAAAAACAGACAATTTTCTTAAATAATCTGAGTTTTCCAAACATCATAATTAAGCCAAAATAGCATTAATTTTGATTCGGAAAACTTTTCTGTGCAAGTTTTTATAGCACTAACAAATCTGCATACTGCGTTTGTTGATGCTGCTATAAGTTTCTGACTGAAATTAAAAAAAACAGGCAAAAAGGTATAAAAACAGACAATTTTTCCCAAAATCATAGTTTGAAAAAACTCATAACTAAGCCAAAAATTAAATCATTTTAATTCGGAAAGCTGTTCTATGCTAGTTTTTAGTAGATTAACAAAGCTGCATACTCAGTTTTTAAATATAAAAATTCTATTTTTTGTCAAATTTTGGCAATTTTAATGATGTAACCCTTATAAAATTTTCAAATTTCGGAAAAATTTAAAAATTTATTTTTTGACCAAACATGGCTAGAACGACTGGGCTGTCGATGCTGATCAAGAATATATATGGTTTATAGGGTCGGAAATGACTCCTTCACTGCTTTGCAGTCATGTGACAAAAATGTAATACCCTGAAAAGGGTATACGAAATCCTAATTTTCTTATTTTTGTCAGGCTTAAAATCCAGCCTGTTGGATTTAACACAATTTTAGTTAAAATCTGGTCGAAAACAAAGAGTAAATTAGGTTATAGTATCTCTACAAGCTTGTACAATCTTTCAAGCGAAATATCTATCAAGAACGTCTCCCCATGTGCAATGTGATAGAACATGAGTCATATATGTGTAAACATTTCTTTTATTCCCCTCTGTATATGATCCCAACAATATTTTATCTAAATTAAGTGCGAAACTTAGTTGTTTAATAAAAATTTAAAATTTTGAATCATATGGTTTACTCGCACTTCATCAAAACTCAAGATGAGAACGTATAACTTTTGGATTGACTCATATATAAATCATAATATAAGATACCGGATTCCGCTCCGGAATAGCTTTACCTCTTGGGTTTGGGATATTGTCATGGTTCTGACCAAGACCTGAGTCCCGCGTTTAGTTTTGCGAAAGCAGAAAAGCTTTATCTAATCGGAGGACTGATTGGCAGCGGCGGCGACCCATTGCTCTCCTCCGTATAGCTAGAGTTATATTATCGTTGATAAAAATATAGCTACGAGGCCAATTGATATGTAGAGCAGAGAAGTATTGATGGTTAAAACACCTCAACTGCCAGCGGATCGCGTTAGTTTGCCATCAGAACCGTCAACGGGCGGAATATGTGCGAATTCTGACATCTCTGCCATAGATAGAGAGAGATTAGAGAGTGTAAACGTTCAGAGATCAGGAGGGATTCCCAGTGAATATCATCGTTGCCCCAGTGGAACAAGGACTCAATCGAATAACCATGACAAGGTAGAGGCTCCAACAAAATGTGATCTAGTCAAGAGATTGATAACATATCAAAGTGCAAACCCACATAACTCCTTAAGATGGCTTATAGTATTATTTGAGGGATTTGGAAGCTCAAAATCCATTGCGTAATCGGGCTCTTTATGGATTTACCCCGTCCCATATCAGTAGAAGCTATAAAGTCAGTCCCCTCTGCTTCGACTACTAATGAAATATGGCATTGATAAGGTTGAATTGCACCTGCCCACAATTATTTCGAGACTCCTATAAATACCAAAGATTTGGATTGGTTTGGCTTGTGATAAAAACAATATTGGATATTGTATCATTGCATGAAGTCATTGCATTGAATTTAAACTTCAGTTGTTATTTGTGAACTGAAGCTTTCATTTCCGTCGCGTTGTTTCTTTATAAATTCCCAAGCCTATACTTTACGTAAATCTTATCAAAATGGAATGGGTATATGTGTTCTCAAGAGGTTTCTTGTCCTCTAATCAACGCAGCAGGTTAAACATGGCAACCCTTTTTGCTTAGTTGTAAGATTAGGTATGTGAATGATAAGGTTATTGAGTTGGAGAGGTGAGGTGGAGGAGATGTTTCCCAGGAAGTGGGGGAAATTACAGGGAAATCGAAAAGAGCGGAATCTTACCAGGAAAACAAAATCAAGTACATTCTATATAAAATCTTTGAATATGCTTTCGTTTAAGCTATACAAGTCTGCCCAACATGGAGACGGGATTGCACGAACGCGATCGTGCTGGAGTCCAGGACTTTGTGTTGCTGGAGAACTACCAGAGCGAGGATGCCTTCATTGAGAACTTGAGGAAACGCTTCCAGGAGAACTTGATCTATGTAAGTTGAACATATTTCAACTATATTTTCTTTAGCCTATCTAATACCTGCATAACTTTCGCCCTTGGCAGACCTATATTGGTCAGGTGCTTATCTCGGTGAATCCCTACAAGCAGCTGTCTATTTACTCCGATGCCCACATCAAGGAGTACAAGAACAAGCACTTTTACGAGATGCCTCCACATGTGTAAGTGTCTTATCTTGCATTCCCTCCTGAATAAATAATATTCATTAATTTCCTTCAGTTTCGCGGTGACGGACAATGCCTTCCGTTCGCTGATCGAGGAGAACCGTGGCCAGTGCGTCCTCATCTCGGGCGAGAGTGGTTCCGGCAAGACCGAGGCCTCCAAGAAGGTGCTGCAGTTCATTGCCGCCTGCTCGGGTAATCAATCAACCGTGGAGGACGTCAAGGATAAGCTGCTGAAGAGCAATCCCGTGCTGGAGGCCTTCGGCAATGCCAAGACCAATCGCAACGACAACTCCTCTCGCTTCGGCAAGTATATGGACATCCAGTTTGACTTCAAGGGTGCCCCAATTGGTGGCAATATCCTGAACTACCTCCTGGAGAAGTCTCGCGTGGTCGCCCAGATGGCCGGCGAGCGCAATTTCCACATCTTTTACCAGCTGCTGGCCGGTGCCGATGAGACCCTGCTACAGGAGCTTCGTCTGGAGCGGGCTCTGGATACCTATAGCTACCTAACCGATGGGGTGAGCTTCTAGACTTGATTCTTTAGAGGATTCTTAATAAACCTTCATCTTAATTACTTTCTTTCCAGCTCAAGGGCAGTGTGTCGAGCATCAACGATGCTGACAATTTCCGACAGGTGCAGCAGGCACTCAGTGTAATCGATTTCACCAAGGATGAGCAGCGCGAGATTTTCGGCATTGTGGCCAGTATCCTGCATTTGGGCAATGTGGCATTCAGCGAGGTAGAGGGCAATGCCAAGGTAAACAGCCGTGATCTGGTTGTGACCGCTGCTCGGCTCCTGGGCGTAAATGCCGGCGAACTGGAGGCGGCACTGACCCATCGCACCATCGATGCTCGTGGTGATGTGGTGACCTCACCGCTGAACCAAGAGCTGGCCATCTATGCCAGGGATGCGCTGGCCAAGGCCGTGTACGACCGTCTCTTCTCGTGGCTGGTGCAGCGCCTAAACATCTCGCTGCAGGCGAAGGAGACTCGAGGCGCCAAGACCAATGTGATGGGTATCCTGGACATCTATGGCTTCGAGATCTTCCAGAAGAACAGCTTTGAGCAATTCTGCATTAACTTCTGCAACGAGAAGCTGCAGCAGCTTTTCATCGAGCTGACACTGAAGTCTGAGCAGGACGAGTACCGTCGCGAGGGCATCGAGTGGATCCCGGTGGAGTACTTCGATAACAAAGTGATCTGCAATTTAATCGAGGAGAAGCACAAGGGTATCATCTCGATTCTAGACGAGGAGTGCCTGCGGCCGGGCGAGCCCACGGACATTACATTCCTGGAGAAGCTCACGAACAAGCTGGCCCAGCACCATCACTACGTTTGCCATGAAAAGGCGCCGACCCACATCCAGAAGATAATGCTCCGTGATGAATTCCGGTTGGTTCACTACGCTGGCGAGGTAACCTACAGCGTCCATGGCTTCCTCGACAAGAACAATGACTTGCTTTTCAGGGATCTGAAGGAGACCCTCAGCAAGGCAGGTAACGGAATTGTGAAGAGCTGCTTCCCAGAGCAAGAGCTGCGCAGCCTGAAGCGCCCAGAAACAGCCATCACCCAGTTCCGCGCCTCGTTGAACAACCTCATGGACATCCTGATGTGCAAGGAGCCAAGCTACATTCGCTGCATCAAGCCCAACGATCTACAGACGCCGGGTGTGTTCAACGACCAGTTGGTGCTGCATCAGGTTAAGTACTTGGGACTCATGGAGAACCTGCGGGTAAGGAGAGCTGGCTTCGCCTATCGTCGCACCTATGATCTCTTCCTGGAGCGCTACAAGTCACTTAGCAAGTCCACCTGGCCGAACTACAAGGGTCCGGGTGGTCCTAAGGCGGGAGTGCAGCAGCTGGTCAAGGATTTGGGCTGGGATGATGAGAAGTACCGCGTGGGCGAGACAAAGCTCTTTATTCGCTGGCCGAGGACGCTGTTCGACACGGAGGATGCGTACCAGGCCAAGAAGCACGATATCGCGGCCATAATCCAGGCCCATTGGAAGGGACTGATTCAGAGAAGAAAGTACCTTAAGCTCCGCGCCCAGGTTATCGTCCTGCAGAGCTACTGTCGTCGCAAGTTGGCCCAGCAGGCGGCCAAGCAGCGCAGGGAAGCGGCCGACAAAATCAGGGCCTTCATCAAGGGATTCATTACCCGGAACGAAGCTCCCAACGGTTTCAATGAGGACTTCATTGCCAATGCCAAGCGCATGTGGCTACTCCGGCTTGCAAAGGAACTGCCCAGAAAAGTTCTTGACAAGAGCTGGCCCCATGCACCGGGCCACTGTCAGGAGGCCTCCGAGTATCTGCACCGCCTGCATCGCCTGCACCTGGCCAGGATCTACCGCCTCAAGCTGACACCGCAGCAGAAGCGCCAGTTCGAACTGAAGGTGCTCGCCGAAAAGGTGTTCAAAAACAAGAAAAACAACTATGCGTCGAGCGTGTCAACCTGGTTCCAGGAGGATCGCATCCCCAAGGATCACATTCAGCGAGTCAACGACTTTGTGGCCAGCACCTTTGGCAGCGAGCAACTGAAGTACCAGTCTTTCTGCACCAAGTTCGATCGTCATGGCTACAAGTCTCGTGATCGCTTTATCCTGCTGAGCAACAAAGCCATCTATGTCCTGGACGGCAAGACGTATAAGCAGAAGCACCGCCTGCCGCTGGAGAAGATCGATTTTACGCTGACGAACCACAACGACGACCTCATGGTCATCCGCATACCGCTTGAGCTGAAAAAGGACAAGGGCGACCTTATCCTGATCATTCCACGCATCATCGAGTTTAGTACCTACATCATCGATACCGTGGGCACGGCTCAGATTGTCTCCATTGTGGACAGGAATTCGTAAGTATTCTCTAGGCTTTAAATAATAATCGGTACTCACAACTTTTTATCTCGATTTGCAGGCTGGAGCACAACGTGGTCAAGGGCAAAGGAGGAGTCATCGACATTCGGACGGGCGCGGAGCCGGGCGTGGTGCGAGATAAGGACCACCTTGTTGTTGTAAGTGACGTCATTCTTTAGCGGAGGGAAAACCCTCTTATCACTACGACCTCAATTTTAATTTCTCGTTTCACTCTTTTTGTATAACTTAGATTGCTGGACAATAAGAAGGAGAATTTACTACGACTTTCTACAACAAAAAGTGGCTTTAAATCAAACGACGTTTGTTTTGTTATATTCGTGTATTTATACTGTACTTAATGTATGTATTTTTTGTTAACTCCCGCGGAAGCGAAATATGTAATTTGGATTTATATGATTAATGTTCCATCTAAATGTATATTGTTTATAAAGAAGAAAATATATGAGACTTTGTATATCTAATTAATTGGTTGTGTAATTGTGTTTTAAGGAATATGAAACGTGGCCAAGTCTCATATTCCTACTATTTTAAATATTTAAATTTTACCACCTATTCGATTACTAGGAACTATTATCGATAATCCGTCTGAGGAATCAGCTAAGGCCAGTGTTACCGATATTGCTGTTAATTTACAATGTTTCTGTGGATGATAGCAGATCTGTTAATGAATTCTAATTTCTACATAAGAATTCTACACGTATCTGTAAACAAGTAAAATGTTATCTAGAAGTGTAGACTGGTAAATAACAGCTTTGGGATTCAGAGTGACCAGAAACAAAATATAAAGAAATACCAATACATACGTGAGAATTTTACCAAATGTATGAGAACTCGAGCCCAAGTGTCCGTAAAGTTTACGGCGTAAACATGTAGAATGGTTCTCTAGACCTGTAAGATGTAAAATGTTAAGCAACAGATTCAGAATTAGAGTGACCGAAAAAAATATATCAAAAAATCTTCTTAACAAATATATCGCAATCGATAAATATTTTCAACCACACAACTTTTACATAATCTGAAAATCGTAAGAATTTCATTAATAAATTGATTAATAAATTAATATTTGTGCCCTGACCCGTGCACTTTACCGGCGAGACGCGTGAATAACCTATTTCCCTTGCAGGAAACCCGAGATGTCCTTCACACAGATTGCCCGCAGCTGCAGTCGGCTGGCGGCGACTTTGGCCCCAAGAGGATCGCCAGCGCCGCCCTTGCACAGCCCCAGCAGGCCAGGATGATGCACAGGATTGCCGTGCCGGCCATGGCCAGCCAGTGGAGCCAAGTGAGTGCTTAGAAGTAGGAGGAGTACCTTTTTCCAGGCCCTATACGTGTGTATAGACCACTCCAGATTTGCCTACCTAACCTCATTGCAAGTGGAGAGGTTTCGAGAGTTGCTTAGCTCCAAAGAAGATATCAGGATGGCTTCTAAGAAACTTAGGCTGCAGAGGCATAGAAACATGTGGCCAACACGGTCCCAAAGTGATTGCATCATATTGTTTAGCATAAAACATGATTGTTTCCCCTCGTCAACGCACTAATACAAACAAGGCCGGTGCTTGCATGTGTGTGTGATTGATAATACTACAGTGCAAATTAACTAAACGTGATATGAAGTCTTTATAGAGAGCTTCAAGAAAGTTAAGAACCCGACAGTATTTTCGTCAAATCCAAGTTTAAAAAATCTCATAACTAAGCCAAAAATCCATTAATTTCAATTCGGAAAGCGGTCTTATCTTCTTATCTGCATACTCAATTTCGAATGTTAAAAATTAGATTTTTTTTTCCAAATGTTGACAATTTTGAAAAAATTTATATTTTTGCCGGGTATGGCTAGATCGACTCGGCTGTGGATGATGATCAAGAATATAGACCTATAGGGTCGGAAATGACTCCTTCGTAGCGATATGAGCATATGACTTAAAGTATAACACACTGCAATGGTATTATTCTTATTCAAATGAATTCTTTATACAAATATGAATGAACCATAAGCTGCATTACCTCTAGACCGTAAACTAACCCATGTAATTCACAGAAATTCGGTGTGCGAAGCTACTCGGCCAAAAGCACATCGAGGACATCAAGTTCCGTGTGCTGAAGGTTGTCTCCGCCTACGACAAAGTCACCGCCGACAAGGTAAAACTATCCACTTCAAGGCGTCACTAACTCTTGGCTTGTGTTTCGTTCTTTTCTTTTGGCCAAAACCAAAACCAACCAGGAGTGTGGACGCAATGGCTGGCAAACGCAATCGGTGCGCAGGTACTCGGCGAAACCGCCTCTCTCACTGAAGCTCATCAACGAGCGAGTCTTGCTTGTCCTCAAGCTGTACGACAAGATCGATCCCTGCAAGGTAAAAAAAAAACGCCAAAACATATTGATTGCCTTTGCCAGTGCAATGGTTACCGCCACAAAGAACTGAACAAAGCATATCCTAGTCCCAGCTATATTGCAACCCGTGCTAATACCTTTCAATTACAGCTCAACGTTGAGTCGCACTTCATCAACGACTTGGGCCTGGACTCTTTGGACCACGTGGAGGTCATCATGGCCATGGAGGATGAGTTTGGATTTGAGATCCCCGACTCCGATGCCGAGAAGCTGCTGAAACCTGCCGACATTATTAAGTACGTCGCCGACAAGGAGGATGTGTATGAGTAAATTGTAACTGTAATGCAAACACCATGAAAAGGATTACACTTAAACTTAAATAGAAAACAAATACAATTTGAACAATAATAAACCAAAAGACTCCAATTATGCTTTGCTAGTTGCGGGAAGTTGGATGGCAAACTAAGAAGGGCTTATTTAAAAATATTAATCATTTGCTTAACCGTTACTTTCAGTTTGAATTTCGATAAAATGAACATTTCCGACAGTTCTTGGTATATATCAACTTCCAGACTTTGGCCACATTGTTTCTCATATAAACAAAGAAAATCGAAATGCCCGACGCTGCCGATCAAATGTTGGCGGGATTAGGTAAATATAATTAGCCAATCCAGTTCCAGGATCTAATGCACCTGAACCACACTACAGCCGCCCGTCGACGGTCGTTGGCTAAGCAGATCAGCAAGATAGACGAGATAATGGAGCGGTCGAACAACACCCTGCTCCACATCGAGTCCAACAACAAGGCCTTGGCGCAGAACGCATCGGCGCAGGAGTCTCAAAAGGTGTACAATCTCAAGCCAGAGTGCGAACTGGCTGTGGTCCGTATCCTGCAGAACTTTCGCCAGCTGATGCAGAGCAGCGATCAGCGAGAAGACACCGGTAGCGCCTTGGACGGTTGCCTGGCCTACAGACACCGCGTAGAACATCTGGGCAGTTCGGTGCGCAAGCTGGTGGCTCTATGCGACACTGTCAACCAGATGAGAAGCTTCCAGGCGGAGCAGGAGGCACAGGAGTTTGGCGACGAATCGCCGTGATGTATCATAGGTTAACAATTTTATGTAAAGCAAAAAAGGGGAAATAACGCCATTCTTATTGGCTCTATTCTCACACTTCTATATTTTAATAATATTAAATCAAATCAAAGCCATGTTGTAGCTACTGATTTGCATTAGGGCATAGGTAAGCACCTCCACGAACATTTCGAGACGCGCCGCCACACTGCCGTTGGCCATTATCTCGCTGGGATGCAGCAGCGGCAGGTTATTGGAGCGCAGATAGTTCAGTTGCTCCATATTTGCGGCCAGGGCCAGTAACTCTCCTGCTGATCGGCTGAGAAGGCGTCAGGCGGCGCATCTCCACCTGTTGGCATAAGCTTTTCCAGCTGCTGGGCAAATCCATTCAGCTGTACCAGCTTTTGCTTGTAAATGGATTCCGTGGTGTCCAGGGCGGCGGTCTCTTCGTAGATCTTTTCCAGCTTGCGCTGGAAGGCCCTGAAATCCTTGTACACCTCAACGGCACTGGGCTGCTCCTCCAGCCGCGTCATACTCAGCGAAATGTTAGACGTGTTGATGGCCGTTGAGTGGTCCGTCAGAGTCGCAGTCGTAGCTTCTGTACCGCGCAAGAGGGTGGAGTTGGCCCGCTGCAACTCTCCCCGCTTCTTAGGCATCTTCTGGAGATTGGTCGGATACTCCTCGAGGGTCTTAAAGAGCTCAGCGTACTCCGCAACCGATCCGAGGTCGTTGGGCGGCGTCATGGCAGCCGTTTCTTCGTCCAGCATCAGCTGCAGGTTCTCAAAGTACGCCGGCGGCTTCATCACCGTCTTGGACACGCAGCAATCCTTAAGGTTCTTCAAGTGCTGCCCGTAGTTCCGGTATATCTTTGAGGCTATGGTGCCAAAGTCAACTTCAGTTTCCATTTTTGTAATTCTTTTCGTTTTCTTGTTTTCTTTTGAATGCGAAAGCGCAGACAGTGCTGGAAAGTATGATTGCTTTTCAAACACTATTTTATCAATGCTCGGTATTTTTTATATCTTGGTATTTTTAAGATGAAGGATTAAATAAATTATTTTATCATTTAATTAAACAGCAATATTTGTTTTCCAAGTTACTAAATATGTACACGATTTACACATGATTATTTCACAAGCACTCAGCCGTACTCAGACTGAACGGTCAGCGAGAACTGACCTTTGGGAATGGTATTGGCATGATACCAGAGGCGTGTGTCCACCAGGACAGCGTCGCCCGGTTCCACGTAGAAGGAGAAGGGCTGGCACTGATGATCGCACTCGGGAGCCGGCGCAAGGAACCAGCTCTTGTTGCCCTTCAGCTGCGCCTGCCACATCAGTCGGGGTATGTAGTCCAGCTGGTGTGGGAAAACCCAGAGATTAGGTTTAAACAAAACTAATGTTTCACCTCAGCTTACGTGCATCACAGCTCCCTGTTCGTAGCCCATCAAAATGAAGTCCGTGTGCGGCATCTCGGCATCCATGGGCAAGAAATGGGGACGAGGATACAGCTTCCTGAGCTCCGCCAGCACTGCCGGCTGGCAGACACTCCAGCCCACAAACCAGGGAGCTCCTTGACTTAAATTTGACCTTTCCGGGGACATTGCAAACACATCTCTCAGCGACTTGAAGTCCGAGTTGAAGTGCAGGAATTGGCAGCCTGTTTCCATGGCGCCCGGCACACTCTCATACAGCTCCCGTATGTAGGCATAGTTGAGATACTTCTGAGCAGGCCAATGGGCCACGGCTCTCTTGACGATGATCGGCAGCGAGGAGTAGGCATGCGGGGTAAACTCGTCCCTGGTGAGATTGGCCAAGATCAGGGGCGCCCGTACGCCTTTGCAAAACTCACAGTCACTGATCGGTCGAGTGGCCTCCCACACCAGGTAGTTGTTGGGCAAGAAGCAGCGCACACCGAGCAAGAAAGAGATGGTCTCGTAAAAGACTGGCGTGGCCACCAAAATGAAGAAGATGATGCCCACCAGCCAGAGTAGATTCAATCGATTCGGATTATGGTCGACATCGCGCGTCTTGCGGAACGCCTCCTCCAGCTCCTGCTTGGACACCAGCCCAGTGCGCAAGCTATTTCGGTGCAGTTCATCCAGTTTTGCTGTGAAGTCGTCTCCCAGGCGCTCTCGTACCTCCCCATTCGGTTGCCAGGGTGCGGGTGGGCCGGCTGATGAACTGGTGAGATGCAGAGTACTATTAGTTTATGGCATTTTCTTCTTAGGTGAAACTTACCAGGAACATCCTTAACTGGCTTTTTGGTAGCTATGAGCTCTTCGTTATTTGTTATTAGCTAACGTTTAATATTTGTAAACAAAGACATCTTTTAAACAGGGAACAAAACATCAAACAGTGAGGAGACGTGAAGTCAAAATACTAGAAAGTTTGGCGTTAGGAGATTTGTGTTGGCATAATTTTAGTATATTCAGAGCAACGCACTGAAGGCGCCCGAGCTTAAATTTGTTTATTTATTTTGAGGTCTCACAGTAAAAAATACAAATACAAACCAAGCTACCAATTCAACTGCTGTCACTCACATTTTATGCATTTATATATATTGTGTGCCATTTTAAAGTCAAATTTAAAAAGGTAACAATTTTTAGATGGCTTCCAAATCGACAAAGAAAAGCGAATCCTCTCGTTTGAGCATATTGTGGTTACCGGGACGAAAATCGCATTCAAAGGTCCACACTAGCAATAAACAATTCTCCAACTCAGAACCGCAAAAGAAAAGCGAGCCACAGTTCGAGCTTACTGACTTGTAAGTAGGGTGCTTGCGGAAGATCGTTGATTATTGCGCACGTTCTCTTCCAATTCAAGACTATAATATATAGTTGCTTTATTTCAGCCCTTAAACAATTTGGCAGGAGAAGGTAATGTCAATGCACCCCCATCTCTGAGTCTTTTGGCCAACTGCTCACTGGCTACACAAAGCCGCAAAGCGATCTGTTTCGTCCATGAAGGTCTATCGGCCATCGTTTCTGAGACCGCCACTGTACACTGTACTCTCTTAACCACTTGCTCACCAAACCTGAGACCCACGTACTCTGTATCGGAGACTGCACCGACGACTCCATCAACCAAAGCTAGACTGTCATTACTACCGCCGAGGTACAGGACTTTGTAAGCTGTGTAGTCAGAATCACACTAAATAGGTCATTAATTTAAAGTGTGTCCTGTTGCAGACCAACATTATGGGTCCCGAAGACTTGACAACAGCAACTGGAGGGACGGAGTTCTTGCAAAATGGCTCCGCGGGAACCAGAGGCACGATGGCACAAGTAGCCCAGGACCCTGCCCGTTCTCAGCAAAGAACGCCGCCTATGATTAAATATAGGAACAATAATAACAATCAGGTAATCATCAATAATATAATATAAAATAAATTAATTAATTTGAGCCTGAAACAGGAGGATATCAACTCCATTGAAAGCATTTCCAGTTTGCCGAGCTTTCAGGGAAACGCCACCGATTTTGATTGGATTGACGAGATGGTAAAGCAGCGCAACCGCAACGAAATGATGCACAATAATCTAAAGAAAACGTCGAAGAAGGGCCTCGATAGCTGCCTGCAACCTATGGCAGATCAGCTTGACGGTCAAATGTACGAATTTAATAGCAATGACAAGGGAAAAAGGAATTATCCCAAGGAGGACGATGACGACGATGACATGGTTGTCAAATGTCTGCATTACTCGCTTATGTGCTGCGATTGTAGGATTTTGTAAAGAGTACTGCGGGATGCATCTAAAATAGCACTCCACGATGTAGTAGGACGAATACATATAATATATATTCTTGATTTTGATACTTAGCATATAATATTCTTTTTATTTCTATATTTATATTTCCGTTCAGAGGTGGTATGAAATACATCCCAAAATATTGAAGAACTTTATCTGCTCTTCTGAACTGCGGTATTTGAATTTTCCGTACGGGTTTTTTCATGGCGGGATCTCTAATTTGAAATGTTTAAGGCAATCTGGCAGCGCCATTAAACTTTTTAGTATTTCTTTACGTTACAGGACTAGCAGCATAGTCGCGCTCTGGCCACACCGTTTTTGTCTGCTTCTTTCCGCTGTTCGTCTTTTGTGTCGCGTTTATTAATGTGAAAAGAAAAACACTTTTGCAACGGTTACGGTCAGCAAAAACAGTGTAACACATCGCGATCTCGAAGTGCACAAGATGCAGACGGGCCAGCGTTAGAACGGAACCGCACTTTACCCGATTTCCGTCGCAAAAGAGTTCAAAGTGCTGAGTGCGAGGCGACGGCGAGCAGCCAACGTTGGCAGCACAGCCCCAATATCGTTTATTATTAAACAACAGCAGCAGCCGTAGCAGCAGCGGAAGAACCACTAGAAACATGTACAACAACGGGGCCCGGGGCTTCTCCATACACGACGCCTTCGAGGAGGAGACGGACGAGCGATACGCGTATATGGTCCACAGTGATATCCACGCCCATGAGGGGCGGCAAGCAAGGTCGCTCAACCGAAGATGTCTCCATTCGCATTCAGGATCCCAAGTGAGTGGGCCATCACACCGACAGACAAAAAAAAGAAATAGATATATAAAAACTGGTCTTCGATTCGATCGGAGCTGCCTGCGTGGGCTGTTATTGGCACCATTTTCCATTTAGTGTTCTGTGATTCACGAGCTGTCCGCCAAACAAGGAGTCTGTGGCTTTGTTCCCGTTTCTGATTTCGATTCCGTTTCTGGTTATTGTTATGTTTATTTATATTGGAGCTCGACAGCTGTTCTGCGCGATTCACGCCCTGTTCTGGGTTCCTAGTTCTCCATTCTCTACCGCCACCGCCGCCACTCTTGGCACTTCCTTATTCCCGCCGGAAGCACCTGAATAAGTTAGCCAAGCGGCGCGTGCGTGCTGGTTGCCAGTCCATTTCTTAGCTCTTCCATTAGCCATGCATGGCGTGTCGTCGAAGCAGCAACAACAAACGACGATGTAATTATGGGGATTATAAATGCAGACGTCCAAGCCTAATTTGGCATTCAATTGTGAAAATCATTGCGCATAAATTTCGTCATAAGGGCTTCTCGGAGGAGGTGGCCTTCGCCTGCGGTCAGCTGGAACCAGTTAGGCAGGCGGCAGCCCAACCAGCTCATCGGCTCGGCGGCTTGCACTTGTCGGTCTTCAGCTGCTGCCGCGCCATATAAACGAAATGTGCAAATGTAAACGCGAAATTGATTGCGTCTCGCTTTTGGCGGCAATCCAACCCCGCGATAACCCCTCCTCCGAGGCTTCGATGCCCGATAAGCGGTCCTAAAGCCCATTTTAGCAAAAAAGGAAAGCTAACTTCGAAAACTTGATTTTTGGAGGGGACCAGACCTACAGACAACTCTTTGTAACTCATTTTAATGATTTAAATCAGATAACTAGTCTAAATGGAATCGGAAATGAAAATGGGAATGGGAACAAAGGTGCATATTTAGTTATATCTCTGTATTACTTAACACCACTACTAAGGCAACATCCGGAAGATCGTCTTGAAACCATATAAACATAGCATAAAGATAAATAAAGTTATAAAAGGCTATAAATAACTTGATATAAATCCACATATTCAATGAAAAACTAATTTTGAGCTATTTTGAGGTACAAAGGTTGTCTGATCTAGCCCCTTCGACGGAGTATCGATTTCCACCGAGTGTCAAGTACCACGAAAAGTAAAGCAAGAAAAGTGGAATAGATTATTGATTACACTTCCTTGGTTAAAAGATTAATAGAACATCAATTTTGACCTAAATTATTCGAGTTTTAAGGTCCTAATGGATTTTGATGAATTATCAATACCGATTCGCTTGAGAGCTCGCAGTGTGAGAGTCTGAAGATAAGAAAGAAGCGTATGCGTAAACCTATTACTATGCCGGAAAAGCCTTCATTGCCTTGCCTTTAATATATACTACTATGAATTTAATAATTTATTTCTCTTGTGACCATAAAAAGCAACTATTAACTTATATTTTTTTATTTTCCTCAGGGGCTACAACAAGTATGCCGAGGACACAACCTCACGGGACAGCGATTCACTCATCCAGGAGTACGGAAACCTGCCCACGGAGGAGACCAACACATACTGCTGGCGGCACCCAAAGGTGCGCGAAAACTGGCGCACAGTTCTGGCCGCGTTTACGCTCCTGGTCGTGGGCACGGGCCTGTTCGTCATGGGCACGTTCGCCATTGCCGATCCGCAGAATACGTCACAGGGAGTGGTGTTCTTCGTTGCAGGACTTATCTGCTTTATTCCCGGCGCCTATCACGTCGTCTACATTTGGCTGGCGGCCAAGGGATATCGAGGGTTTGACTTTTATCACCTGCCGCTCTTCACATAAGCGTACAGCTGCTGCCAAGTTCACTGGTTGAGCTGAAAAGCAGACAGGGGATAGACAGGAAGGGAAAGATTGCGAGGAAGGGAGGAGTGGGATAGATCCCTCGTCCTGTCTATTAATATAATCGATATGTTTGTTTATATAAATGTTGTATAAACAACATATTTTCTATTTGTAAACGTAATTAACCCCGAAACTCGAAACTCGGTTTTTGTGTAACGTACTTTTTGTGTTTAGCAACAAGAAATTTCGTTTAGACAAACGCCAGCCCCCTCTCCCTTTAACCCGAATCGAAATTTAGCAATATATATATTTATACATACGATTATATATCTATATATATTTTACAATATTTTCTTTTATACACCCTCGGTAAGTGCAAAAGAACATACGTACGTACTCGAAATTTATTTAAACAAAATAGAGAAAAGAAAAACAAACGAAAGACTTTGTATATGATGCTAACATGTTGAGGGAGCGCCTAGAGTTATGACATACGTATATATACTAAACATAAATGGTAATTGTAATTTATTGAAATTTAATTGCACCAAAAAACGAAACGAAAATGTTTTACGATTTTCAAAACCAACTCAAAAAAAAATAACACCCACGAATCTATGTATATGATTAGTGAGCGTCTGTCCATGGATGCGCCTTAAAGAAAACCTAGAACTAGACTTTATGATATATATTGTTAAACCTAATCGATTGTAACGAGAGAAATCTCAAAATACCAAGCTACTTAGTGATGTAAGACGATGCGCCGATATTGCAATACGTTCTTTTTATAGCTATTGATAGTGATGACGCGTCTCTTTTCCACTGACCTAACCCCCAAACCCGAACCCAAACCGTCCTCTAATGAAATTACATCTCAACAGTCATCGCATATTTCTCACACACCTCATCTGCCGATTAGTTCTTAGTGTTTGTATAATTTCTTTTTTAAGAAATGCTGAATATGGTTGTATTAAATGAAAAAAAAAAGAAACAAAAAACTAAAACAATAAATTTACCTAAAAACGCATAAATCCCGATTTATGGCTAATACAGGACTTTATTTATCCGAAATTACCACACACACTCCTAATTTCCTAATTCGTAGCCTTAATTTTGTGACTTTTGTATGTATTTTCCCATTGATTATGTTGGTTTTTATTCGAATTAAAAATATTATTTTTGAACACTTCCATTCGTTTTTAATTTTCCCTGGATTAGGTACCTTTGTAAATACTTTTAGCATTGTCTTATATTGATATGATAAAAAGTATATTTATACTTTATCAGTTTTTATGAACGTGATTTATAATTTTTTCTTTTTTTTAGCACTGTCATCTGGGAAGTGATATAGTTTCTTTACGCAGCTAAAATAACCCAGCGATAAGTTTTATCTTTCGTTTTGCGGCATGCCCATTGAATTGTATCAGAATCTCCATCATTATCAAGTTCATCCTCGTAAGAACCAGAGTGCGTTTTTTAAAACTGATGTATGGGAAATATATAACATATATTCAAGCTTTGAATTGCTGTGGTTAAGATTCCACTAACGTCGCCATTTAATGTCTAATATTTCTTTAATTATTTGTTTATGTCCTACAATAATAGCATCGATTAATATAATCTATGGGTCGTTTGCTATAACGTTTCAGTTTCTGTCTGACCTTAGTCTATCTCGTTTCTATTAACCTCCCAGCAACAAAGGCACTCTTGACCTTTGCCCAGCAATCAGTCACGGAACGCACTGTGGGCCAGTCCAGCTCCAGCTCCCAACCACTCCTCCGGTAGGTTAAATGGATTCGGTTGCCATCGGGTCTAATGGCGATGCAAATGAGATGAAGTGAAATGTTAGAAACAATCAAATCGGCATTGGAATAGGATAGATACATACATACATACTTGCTCAATATACGAAGTTAACGATGGCTAAATAGGTTTAATTATATTGGTGTTGTGCGCCTCCCGAATCGATTATTTTTGTAGCTTTGAACTTATTTCGAATTGAATTTGAATAATTGTTGCCTCGGAGACTCCACTCGACTCGATTCGGTTCGACAGGATTAAGCTTTAAATGTGCTTAGCGAAGTAAGTGTGGAAATGGAATAAAGTGCATGGAAATTAATCGCCAAACAAAGTTTTATTTTGTACCAACTGCGCACCAGTCAGGGGTGGGAAATCCTTTGGGAGTTTGTACCTGTACAGTGTGTACAGTTTACAAAGAGTGTCCTTTTCCAGAAGAGTTCGTCAATATTTGGAAAGTACAGAAGTTATATTCCCTTTTGAATCACCTTTTTATACCCTTGTAGTGAATTTTTATTTTAATCAAAAGTTTGCAGAAAGTGAAGGAATCATTTCCGACCCTATAAATCTGTATATTCTTATCAGCATCAACAGCCAAATCGATCTAGCCATCTCCGGTAGAAAAATAATTTTTGAAAATTTTTGCCAAAATTTCTAAATTTTATAAGGGGTTACATCATTAAAATTGCCAAAATTGACCAAAAATTAATTTTATAATTTAAAAACTGAGTATGCAGATTTGTTAATCTATGAAAATTAACATAGAACCGCTTTCCGAATTAAAATTAGTGCATTTTTGGCTTAGTTTCGAGATTTTCAAAGTTGGATTTGACAAAAAAATGTACATATAAAAATACCGATAAATAACGTTTTATAGCTTAATATATTTTTTTTAACTAAAATAACATTAATAAATATTTTTTCTCATCATCGAAAACGTACCTATACCAACGCTATTGTCCACGCCTCGACTTCACCTGTGAGATAGACAATTTGTCAACCGGGCATCGATCAAACATGGGACATCTGAGTGGCCTGGCAACGGGCGCCATTGAAACCATGGATGGCAAAGGCAAAACCGCAGTAGGGAGTGGTGTGGAGTGCAGAGGAGGCCCAGAGGAGCCGCTGCTAATGTCTGAAGTGCACATCCCCGTCCAAGTTCATTAGACTTGGATAGGTGCGGGCGGGAGTGCTGCCTAACACGAAATGGAAAGTTTCGGCATATCCCTATCCCTATCCCCTGAATCGTGGTAAATCGCAGCGCGAAAACGCGTAGGTCTAAAAATATCACGGCACTCGAAGACAATCGATGTGCCCACAGCTGACAGAGATGGGCGAACGTGAGCCGGAGTCGGACGGAGAGGACGCCGAGGTCTATTGTAAGTTGATCCCTCTAAGTTGACAGCAGCAGATGTCCCTACTCATGGATTATTCCGCAGTCCTGAAGCCGGTCAACGAGTACAACATTGTGGATAGGATCAAGGAGGCCAACAAGGAGCTCTTTGCGCTGGAGGAAGAGGGTGCGGGTGCGGGTGCTGGTGCCAACGGCAATGGCAAGGTGACCAAGGTGAAGTTGCCCTAAATCTGGAGGATTACGAGCCAACGGGGGTGCCGCCGGGAAGGACCAGAGTCCCAGTCCGCCGGATGAGCTACTGCAGCAATTGACACAGCTCAAGCTGAAGACCATCACTGAAGAGGAGACTGTCGCAGCTCCAGAGACGTTAAAAATTGTTGAGGAGACCCCTGCTCCGCCGGTGGAGGAAGTTGAGGAGGAAGAGATCTGCGAGGAAATCCTGGACTTGACTGAGGTTTCTTCACAGCCTGCCGTCCAAGAGGCACTGCCCATCGAGGAGGAAGATGAAGACGATTTCTCTGGTGTGGATGAAGCAGATCTGGATGATGACTCACCCGTAAAAGATGCTTCCGTGCTGCACCATTCCAAGTAAGACAGATCCCCAACTTCGACCAGGATGATTCCGACCAGAAGAGTCTCACCAATTTGCTGACCGAGTCCGATTGCGAAGAGGAGGAGCGCACCCTTAACGAGGCCCGTCAGAAGCTTCGCGATGCGTACAAGAATCTCTACAAAACGTTGGATCCCAAGGAGCAGGCCACCATAGACAGGTTAACGGGGGTTGGGTCCAAGAAGAACCTTCTTTACCGCCTTTGCCAGTAGCTGCTGCAGCCGAAGTCGATGAAGAGGATGATCTATCCATTATTGTAGCCAGCTATATACCCGATAACTTTGAGCTCAACGAGCAGAGCATTTACTACAAAAAGGAAGAGCAGGAGGACTTGACCGGGCTAGCTAAACAGCAATCCTGCTCCGAATGCCCCAAGGCAACTTCCAAGTCCTTTTTCACGTCTCGGAGTTTTAGTTTTCGACGTCGATCTAAGCCCACGCCTACACCATCATCCGCCACAGCTTCGACGACCTCTCCCTCCATTCGGATGAATTACAAGATTTGCTGCGAGCACCGTCACTCGCTGCAGGGGAAGCTGCCCCGGTACACGGGCTACATGTCCGAGTATGGACTGAGTGCCCAGCAGTTGCAACGGCGGGAGCAGCAGTTGCGACGAAAGCAGCGCTTCTCCATGGAGCAGACCATCAGTCGCAACGAACAGGAGCTTAAAAAGATGCAGGACAACGAGCGGGCCTTCACCACCTGGCTAAAAAATAAGATGCGTTATCCGATCAACAAAACTCGTAACATGTTCGATGCTCACAAGAGGCGGGGAAGCGTAGCAGCCGCTGCAGCAAGTCCACACGTTCATTCGCATCCCATCAGCAGGAGCAGCAGCCGCAAAGAGGTGGAAGCCGGCGGCGGAGGCGTCGTGACAGCGATGATGACGATGTAGTACACGCCTATCGACACCTTCTCGGCAGCTGGAACAAGTAGCAGCCGCTGATGTAGTTCTTATATCTTAGTTTATTACATAAATGTATAATCGCGTATTATATTTAATTTGTAATACAACTTCCAAGTGAGAAAAGGGTGAATGGATTGTGGGGGGACCTCATAACAGACTGACAATGATAACAGGAAGGATTAAAAAATTTAATTCGATGAAAGAGGAGAGGAGGATCCTCCTAATGACGCGACTTCTTCGATTTGTGACCATTGTCGCGGCTGTCGTCCCGCGAACGTTTGCGATCCTTGTCCTTGCTGCTGCTCTTGTGTCCCGACGACGAGGAGGAATGATGCTTGTCCCGGTTGTGGTACTTATCCTTGGACGATTTCGATGGGCTTTAAATAGAGCATATAATTTTTTATTATTGATTTCGAATTTTTACTCGCCACAGCGAAGTTGATTTGGGTTAAGTAAATTTTGAAGCAAGCAAAAGTGTATGTGGTTTTTGTTTGTATAAAATCTAGAATTTGAAGCCAGAACCAAATAGATATCAATCCTACAAGCGTGCCCCAGAAATCGGCGTAGATTCAATTATAAATAATAACAATAGATCACTTTTTGAAGAGATTTGAAATAAATATTAATTTCTTTGGCACTACTGATTAAAAACCCATTAACAAAAAAATGTAAAAACAAATAAAACCCTTTCAGTTCTTCAGAATTTCCCACTAAAAATAAATAATACATTGCAATGTGTAGGATTTGTTTTTCGTGAATGTGAAATGTCTTGTGAAATGCGCTTGCGTTAGGCCGAATGATTGATTTTATGTGTGTTATGGAGGATTTCTTTCGTTAACAAACCTAGATGAGCTGCCATGTTTGGAGCTGGAGGATTTTAAATGCGAAGAGGAGGAGGAGGAGTTCGACTTATGCTTTTTACTGTGCGACGAAGACGATCGCTGTTCCTCGCGTTCGCGGCGACTGTTTTTGGGAGGTTGTAAAAGTGATGAAGAACGATTTGATATATTGTAGATATACATAAATATAACCCGGAGGAGATCTCGAGGTAAAATTGGTAGCTATATGACGAATGTCTTACCTGTGCTTTGAGCTCTTGCCGTGCTTCTTGGGCTCAAACTTTCCATTGCGTGGCTTGTCATCGGTGGCATAATCATGGTTTCGATCCTCTTCGGCGGCCTCGCGCTCTAGATCGGACCAATCCTTACCAGACTCCTCATCAGAACCCAAATCATCTGTAAAATCGTTAATATATCTGTTAATTCGATTTTTTTTGGACTTTAGTTGTTCTTACCATCACTTTCGTCGCTCTCATCTTCGGAAGCCTCCGAGTACTCGGAGTCCTCGTCCGACTCCTCATCCGATTCGGCATCTGTAGGATTGTAGGCCTCATCCTCCTCGGATTCGGCTGTTTCGTTCTCGTCCTCGCTGCCCGATTCGGGGTCCAAGAAGGTCCAGCCGCCTTGCTCGAAGAATCCCTCAGGATCGTCTGTGATGGTCTTCATAATCTTTTGCCAGTTCAGCGACTGGACGCCCTCCGAATAACGAATGTCACAGGAGCTGCCAGAATATCCCAGTTAGAGTGAGGACCTTTTATGGTTATAAAGTAAGACTTACTTGAGCCACTCCTTGACGTGATCCAGCATGTTCATTGGAATGGCATTAACCATGGCCACCTTCTTGTTGTATTCCTTAAACACGAAGATCATGTCGAAATTGCGCAGGTGGAACTGCACACGCTCAAAGTGCACCAGCTCGACGTCGTCTAGGGTGATGACAAATGGCGGCCATTCGGTGAGATTGACCAGAGAGCCGGACGTTGGCTGAAGGGTGACGGTGCTGCGGAATGGGGCGCCGGGGAAGCCCAGCTCGCGGAACGGCGTGTCGAATTCCACCACCGACTTTGTCATCGCCTCAACCTTTTCGCAGAAGCTCTTAAAGGCCGTCTTCAGTTTGTGCCTAAGCTCCCGCTCCGACTGTTCGGCTGCCAGATCGTCGCGATCGTGCATGTGCTGATGCTTGCCCAAATCCGTCGTGATCTCGCCCACTTCCGTGTAGAATTGCACATCCAAGTGCTTTTTCTTGCCAAACATAATGGCATACTTGAGGTGGAAGTGAAGCAGGATGATCATCTCGCCGTCGCAGGGCTGGAAGAAGGCGCTCTTGATGTTGTTGTACAGGATATCGACCTTGTCGCCGCGCACAGAGATGTAGCGGAAGCCATTGGTATGCGCCTCCAGACTGCCCGTCATACGCTTGGTGACGATATTGGGTCGAATGTAGAGGTCCTTGAGCTTGGGATTGCCCTTGTTCTGCGATTGAATGAGTGTGTCCTGCTTCACAAGATCCTCCTTTTCGCGCTCCTCCGCCTCTCGGGTCTTGAAGCGTTTCTGCACCTCTTTGATCAGCCGAAAAGCGTTGTTAAGATTCGCCGACGGTGCAGCGACTTCACCGTGTTCCTTGACGTTCGAGCTACGGTAGGTCCTGAAAGGGGAATAAACAGATAATGATATGTTTTTACTTCCCAAATTAAAGGTACTTACACTTCCTTGACAAATGTGGCCTCCGGTTGTGGGTATAGACCGCCCTCGTTGCGACCCATCGTGGCGCCCGGGTGAAAGAAGTTGATGCGCAAGTACGTGTACTCGCCTTCTACGGACTGCGAGATATTTTTGATGGTGGAAATGTGAAACGGCACTTGGATGCCGAAGACAGGCATAATGACAGTCTCGTATTTTTTGTCCACATACAGCTTAAGCTCCTTGACCTCTGGCTCGCGTGGCATCTGGCTCATAGACTTGTACGAGACTGTATTCTTGCGCACTTTTTCCGCCTCCTTGGTGTCTCCCTGCTTTGCCAGACGCTCCTTGGCCCTTTCGTTTAGCTGCTGGGCCAGCTCGCGCTGATGCTCCTTGCGCTTCTCTTCTGTATTTATCTCGTTGCGCAGCTTTGAGTCCATCACAGCATTGCGCTTGCTTCGTCCTAGAATCTCTGTGCTTTTGTCTTCCTGGGCTGCCTTCTTATCATCCGCGTCCTCCTCCTCCTCGTCGCTGTCGTCCTTGATAAAGATGCCCACGTTCTTGATTTTCTTTTTGGAGGGAGTCATCACACTGGCCGGTGATTGTTCGCCCACAAGCACAGTGTCGCCAATGAAAAGGGCATAGGTCTTGCCCTCCTTGTCGGTGGCATCGGCATTTGTTAGATTCGAGATGCCAACGTGGAGATTAAAGACCATATTCTTCTTAATAAGCGCCTGACACTTGGGCCCAATCACTATGGAGTTCTCCCGGAACTCCAAGCCCATTGCGAATCCGAAACTCTTGGTTAGATTATCGACCATGCCGGGCTTCTCTTTCTTCACGTACGCCAACGTTTTCTCATAAACCTCGCACAGTTTGGTGCTGGGCACCAGCAGCTTGAGTATCTCCTCCTGCACGCTTACCAGAAACGTGTAATTCTCCTGCATGGCCTCAGTGGGGTTGACCAAGAAGGTGCGCGATATATTCGAACAGTAGGACTTGTAGCGGGCCCCCAATGAGCACACAATCACGCCGAAATGCAGGACATTTTTATCGGAAGCGGCAGAGAACTTGAGACTGTAGTTGCCGCCCGACTGAATGATTGGAGGATAGGCCATGTCCAGCAATCGGGGATCCAAGCCGCTGGTGTATTTCTTCTCAGTAATGGCCGACTCGCAGCCATCCGACAGCTTGGTGTGCTTGACTTTCTGTGGGGTGGATAAACGCTCTTTGAAAGGGAATTCTGCAACTTAACCTAAGTATCCTTACCTTGTCTGAATCAATGATGTCCATGATCTCATCTTTGAGATACTTATTGAAGATGTCCATGGACACCAGTGAGGCTTTGCGTATGTTGTTTATCTCGGACTCGTCTTTCGGACACATTAAGTAGGCAATGATTGTGCTAATGTCGACATGCTCGAACTTTGAGTCCATCAGCGACTTCTTCCATGCCTCACTAAACTCGCCAGGATAGGCGTCCTTGGTGAAGACGCCCAAACGCTTGCCCTTCTTTGAGTTCTGTATGGCCTTGATCAGTTTCTCGTAGTTTCCCTTGTCCTTGTCCGTCTATTTGGCGGAAAAAGCAGCGGATTACATGACTCAGGTCAAGTTTAAGAAGCGACAACACTTACACGGTCCCTCACTAGCAGCTTGATTTCTGGAAAGCCCTCCTCGCTGATATTTTGCGTCTGCTTCAGGAACTCGATCTTCTTCTTGCTTGTCAGGAAGTAGATCGCGTCCGAGGCAAACACGGAGATTGTGTCCGTTAGCTCATAGCCCAGAAGCCAGAGCTGGAGGGCCATGGACTTGGAGTAGATCACATCCTCGTCGGCGCCCACCACGCTCATGATGCAGTCCAAATTGCTCAGGGCGTCGTCGTGCCCGATGCTGGGAGCCTGCAGAAGAACACAGAAAACGCTGTAGAATCTCATGGCATGATAGACACACTTTATGATAGCAATCTTCGCGCCTAACCTAACAGGGCAGCTGCCTGTCAATTTTTCCCCCGAGAAAGAATCGAATTTCATCATAACTTTTAATACACGTTATCTGCGCTATAGGTAAAAAGTCTCCATGCGTTCGGGTCGGGGCTCCTGCAGACACAAAAGCCCGGCAGACAGGCGGACGGACAAACTCACCTTCCATTCCGTGTAGAGGCGCTTAACGCGGCGCACAAAAGCCTCTTTATCCAGCACAAAGCTTGACATCTTGCTGCCGGAGTCGTTGACGGTAACTGCGATTGAAATGCCCCAGTCGAACTCAGTTAACAAATATTATTCGCATTTGCAAATTCCGGCGGATGAAAAAATTGCGCGTTTTCGGCGTCTACGTTAGTGGTGGCAAGACATCAGAGCTATCGATACTAATGATGTTTTCAAAAATCGATTTACTTTTGGCACTATCGATGTTTGGAAAAACTCGGTTTTACATTATACATGTGTAGATGACAATTTGCTACTTTTACAGATACATGGAGTAGAATTCTCATGTAGGAAGGAAAATTCATTAACAGATCGCATAAATTAACAGAATTCTGTCGTGTTTTGAGATTCTGGTTATTAATACTAGGCCTAAAAACGAATATTATTCATTCAAATTCATTTGGAAGTTCCGCTGGTTGAAAATATTACGCGTTTCCGGTATCTACTGTCAAAATGTCGATTTTCGCTATCGACAGCACTGTTTGGTGTGGGGAACTTCGGCACTATCGACTTTTGCTGAGGTATTCATTTAAGGAAATCGATAACAAATAGGGGAATATAACATTTTAAAAAACATTTAAAACTATATCAAGCGTTATCACTGTTCAAAAACGTCTTCGCAAAATATTAGTCCTATTATAAGAAAACTTAACAAATGATAAATCTTTAGCATAATATACCAATAATATTGGTATTGGTATTGGTATGGTTAATTAATTGAATTGGCATTTACTAAAAAAGTGCCAACGCAAATATTGTTAAAAACTAGGTCCAGTAAAAGTAAGGACTGAACTCTAAAATACCCATCAGTAAAAATTAATTTTATTGTTTAACAAGGATAAAAACAAAGATGGAAGAACGTTTCATTTAAATGTAGTTAAGTTTATTATTGTTTTCCTTCAGTATTATCAACATTTGCAATTACGTACTGTGACGGCTAATATGTGAGTTCGTTGAACTTGATTCATTGGTATTTTCTAATTAGCAAAGTCTAATATTCATAGCCGGGCTAATTCTTTGTGCTCGCCGGACTATCGGCCACGTCCGGCCGGGCCACCTGCAGATACTCCTGGATGTCGTAGTCAAATAGCTCAAAGTCGTATCTGTCCAGGATCAAAAGGTTTAAAATAACATTACAGAAAGTATTTAATTGCTTTTTACTTGTAATACTCGTAGAGCTCCAGCATCTCTTGGCGCGTCAGCTGCGCGTAGAACTGCTGCTGGAGCTCGTGCGTCTTGCGGCCCTTGCCCATGTTGCGCCACACGGGCGCTATCACCCGCTTCAGGCCAGTCTTTTCGATTAGATATAATTGATCCTCCGCCAGCGACTCGAACTTCAGTATCATGTCGAACCGGATGAGACAGGGCGTGCAGAAGGAGGTGGCCGACACGAAGTGCATGTCGATGAAGCTCCCCGCTTCACCTGGTCGAGCAGCCAGTGGACAAACTCAGGGAACGAGGGGAACTTTGTGTTGGCCGCACGGGTAGCCAACGCTGGCTGGGTGTTGAGAGAAATTAAGAAATAAGAATTAAATCCAAATAGACCGTTACATGTACTTACCTTCTTGCGATAATTACGCACAATGCTGCGTCCCAACTTATCGTGGAAGGAGTAGGGCAGGGCGAACACCATCTTGTCCCGATAGGCGCTCAACAGCCGTTCGAAGGGGTCGCGTGCTATGATAAAGGTCAGCGAGTAATTCTGCGCCTCACGCAGCTATTAGGGGAGAGGGAAAGTCAAATAATAAATAGTAACTCAATACGCTTGGGGCAAGCAATCCGTTGGCACACCAACCTCGTCGAGGGTCACACGGGGATAGCGCTCCCTGGCCAGATTGAGGAGAATCTTTTTGGTTTTTCGCAAATAGCTGGGTGAATAGCCGGCCAGGACATTAAAGTTGAACATCCAGGATGAGGAGGCTGCCTTAAAGACATTGCACCTACATCATAAATAGGAAAAGAAACATTCATGAAATATGTATAAATTAAAATCAAACTGATAGAAAATAGCCTAATAATATGCTTTAAAAATAGCTGGAAAAATATCATTCAAGGCTTATTCTTAGGCACTTTCAAAAGTGTAAAGGCTAACAGAACTGTGAACAAATTCCGCACCCACCATATAATGTGATACTTTTTGTTGACCAGAAATTCCCACGTATTCGGGGTGTGCCACGAGTCGTGACCTGTAAGTAAGATGGACGTGGGATTCAGTGAGGAGCTTAGAAAGTGTGCCATGGTATTCGCGTCGGACGTTGGAGCTTCGTTACTCACCTAGGACGTCCAGGCCGTAGGCGGAGCACTTGTCCCTCAGCCGCTCCCTTCGCTGGTCCATCCGTTGCTCCACCTGAAGCATTTCCTGCGGCGAAAGCGTCTGCACGGCATACTCGGGAATGAGGGGCAGGAGCGTCTGGTTGCTGTCCTGTCGATGGACAAACATACAGAAAGTTTAGCCACAACGGAAAAGCCGCAGCAAGGTCCACATGCTTGATGGAAATGATGGAGGAGTCGAAATATGGGAGTGGGAATCGAATCGAATGCCGTGCCCAAATGCCTGCCAATCAACTTTGGCTTCTCTGAATTTTATTTTAGCTTTGTCTGCTTTGTTTACATCATTAATTATACGAGCCTGTGAGTTTAAGTGTTTTTGGTGTTGGGTGTTTGTGTTGGTGGTGGTGGTGGTGGTGTTGCGTGTGCTGTGTGTGGTGTTTGTGTGGGTTACATATTTACTTTATCGACATAGCGCCACTTGTTCTTAGTCTTGCCCGTTGCCACCACGGTGAGATCCTTGTTCTTGTTCTTGTTTAGCAGCAGCACCGGATACCGGACCACCGGATACGGAAGCTGGCCATGTTGCTGCTCCTGTTGCTGCCCCTGCTGCGGATGTAACTGCTGCTGCTGCTGCTGCTGCGGCGGCTGCTGCTGCACATTAAAAGCCTAAAAAATCAGTTGCATTTTGGATGTTTGGGTTGTAGGTTTTTCTTTAGCTCGTAACTATTTTTGGGTTAATAGGCAGAGATGACGTGGCGTATGCGTAATTTACAAGCGGTCTGTCAAGGTCGCAATCTCAATCTCAATCTCCAACCCCAATTAAAACCGCCAGACGCCAGTGTCAACTGCCATCCGGGGAATCGCAGCATGAATCAAGTGGCTCCACGGATAAGTTGGCGTCATCATGGCAGCACTTTGCATTTGACTCGCGTACGCCTCGCTCCCCAGAAATAGTACCATATACTATATACGCTATATGTATTTACATACCCTTCGAGGGGCGGGGACTTTTACTATGGGGCATGGGGCGGATACAAGTCTCTGCTACATGAATGCATGGTTCGGATAAGATTGATTAATGGTCATGGCTGGACGTCTGGGGCTGAATAAGGAATGCGATACTATATAGTACATGTTTTAGGGAGGCTCTACATTATTTTTGGAGCTTTGACCTAAATGGCTTGTCTTCAATTTAGTGTATTTACATTTCCTTGGAATGAAGTATTAAGTTTAAAGGGAAGACATCATTGATTACCTTTCTATGCAATTTTATTTTAATTTGATCCAATTAAATGAAGTCAAAGGTCCATGTAAGGGTATAGAAAATTCATCCTTTGTCATTTTAAGCTAAAGTGGCGCTATGAACATGACGTGAACTGTGCGGAATGCCTGGGGACTGTAGGATGTTGGAATTTGTGGGCTCTTTTGGGAGGTTATACGAATGCACAGGGGGCGTGACCTGTGTGTTATTTTTCTTGGGGGAGTGTGAGTGTCAGAAGCCTTGCCTAATTATGCGTGTGCCAGACGAAACAAGGAAAATACAACAGCTTAGTTGGGAGCCAACGCGGCGTATGCGTGTTTTCATGTGCTTTCATTATTTTTTCATTTTGGGCGTCTGTCTAAGCATTTGTCATTTTGGCTAATGTTATGCAAATTATCAGTGGGCCAGAATGAGTATGTTAGTGAGGTCTAGGCGCCCCATCCAGGAATCGATCGAATTTAGCCCCCTTGATTACATTTTCATGATGCCACACGCAATTAAGTGTAATTTGTGCGAAACTTTTGCCTTTTTTGCAAGCCATTTGGCCAAGGCCGACTGCGAATAGGGCGGGCGCCCCAGAGTCTCGGCCGACCACGCAACCAAAGCATTGCAAGCGGTAATTACACAGAGAAAAGGTAATACAACTTTGGATACTGTTAAGGAAATTCTAGCAATGGCATACGTTAAAGGAATCTGACATTCTTTAATGATCCTTGGCTTACACTGCAACAAAGTCTGTTAAAATATGACCAAAAGATAGCTTTTAAATGTTTAAAGTCATCTTAAGCAAGATAGAAATAACTTCGGGGAAGCTGAGATAATATACCCATGGGGTTTGCAATTCTAACATATTATATAATTGAATAGGAAATCTTTCATAACTAAGACAAAAAGGCATTCATTTTGATTCGAAAAGCTGTTCTATTTAGTTTTAAACAGGTTACAAATTTGCATACTCAATTTAATATTTAAAACATTTTTATATTTGGTCAATTTTAGAAAATTTTAACGATGTAACCTTATAAAATTTGAAAAAATTAAAAAATGTTTTTCTTTCCTACATGCCGGAAAGATTCGGCTGTTGATGCTGATCAAGAAATATATGATTTATAGGGTCGGAAATGACTCCTTCACATATTTACCAGCTTCTGACTAAAATTATATTCCTTGGATACCATTAAATTTGGAAACCAATCGATTTAGTTTTGCGTTCTGTTATTTAAACACTTTGATTTTTTCCCCTGTGTAATCGCTTAGGCCATGCCAAAAGGGTTGTCCGGGCCAAAACTGGGCGTGTCCGGTGGGCGGCCGTCCAGCTTATGTGATTATAAGTCAAGACCGAAACGTTTTCCGCACCCCGAAGTCCAAGCCGTAGGTGCGTGTGTGTGTTTCGTGTAATTGCTCTGACGCTTGGAATATTCCGTCTTTATTCGACATTTGCTCAATTTGATGCACAAATAGGCGATAAGAGGCAACAGCTAATTTCGAATTAATTTACACCCAATCGGGCGCGATGCTTAATGCTTTAAAGCCCGTTCAAAAAGCGCAGTCCAGTTCCCAGTTCCCCGGGTGAGAATTAAGGCGATAAAAATGTTTGTGCAAGTGCTAGGGGCGAAACAAAAAAGGAATGCTAAGATATATGCTAAAATCTCTAACAGCTCTGATAAGTAAACAACAACATGAAGATGCTTTCAATTCCAGCTATTTATCGTGTATTTATAGCGATCGCTGCGATTGGCCTGCTAATTTGTGTGTAAGTTATTCTCAGCCTCGAATGCCCTTCACATGTTTATAGAATTTGTTTATAGAATCAGAGAGAGCATTATTATTTAGCTGATAAGTTTCTTGATTTTCCACAGATCACTCGATTGGCTATGCATTTTTAGGGTAATTACTTCTAATTGGTTTTTTTATTCTTGATTTTCTGTATCGTTTTTCGGTTTCCTCTGTTTCTTTTGTATTTTTTTGTTTTTGATGGCCTGAAACTGAGTCAGGCAATCGATGGCCTGCAATTTGTTTGTTGTCAGGCGATGAAGGGGTGGGCGAGGCAGGCTGGGCAGGCGGGGCGGCAACTACAAGCGAGTGTATAAGTATATACATGTATATCTACAGCTAAGGGTACACAGAGAAAAAACAAACAGTTGAATTTCTAAGCCGGTTTTATCATTTAAAAGACATTAATTAACACTCAATATTGATGTGAAGTAATTAAGCATTTCAGCAACCATTAGAAAGAAAAAAAGCAATTAAAATTTAGAGGTATCCCATAAATCTCGACTGGCCGGTTTTGGTGTTGCTCATAAAGTATTCTTTATAATTAAATTATATATTGATTTTTTCTCTGTGTACTCTGTACAAGCGATTTGTCCAGCAAATGTTTGCGCCGGACCCTCAAAGGGCTACACGAAACTACCAAAACCCCAAACATGCTACTCCCACCATCGACCACCACCCCCACTAATGTTGGACTCACCTCGAATCCTCGGATCTTCTGCAGCTGCTCGTTCCACACCAGGTAGACCAAGGACAGGGGCAGCAGGAGCAGGGAGACGACCGTGAAGATGAGCAAATATCGCCGGATGGCGCGACAGTTTGCCAGGCTCTTGCTCAATTTCATTTAAACTCGATGCTTGCTGCATAGGAACTGATGGGGGCCTGGACCTGGACCTCTCTATCCGCTCCTCGTTTCCGGATTGGAGTGGATTGCAGTGGTTGCCGGATTTGGTTTGGATTGATTTTTTTTCTTTTTTTTTTTAGATATAGCGTGTATATCTGCTATTGATATTCGTGGGACATTTCCTGCTGGTGCTTGCTACGCGGCCGCAAACTTTGCCTGCAGTTGGCGACAGATTTTGTAAGTGGTGCTGCTCATCGTCGGCGTCCACGTTGTGCTTTCTAAATTTAGTTTGCTGTGCTAAATGTTCTTGACAAAAAAAAAAACATAAAATCAGAAACGAAAGGAAAAAAACAAGAGCGGAAACCAAAAATATATCGAGTGAGCTTGAGGAGAATGACAGTTTTTTGCTTTATGGTCGAGTGGCTTTCGACCATAAAACAATAATTGTGCCACTGCTCGATATTTCGGGCCAAACAATTGATTCGCTTCCGCTTTTGTTCCCCTGTTTTTCCCCCTTTTGTTTTTGATTCATCGGGGGTGTGCTTTTGTTGCAAGTGAGGCCAAGGCAAAATAAAACAAAAAGGAAGTCGTTTATTGATTTTCTCCGCTCTTCAAACTCCATTATATTCGCAGTGCAACGTGTGTTGAGGCTGGAGTTGTGTCGGCTGGAAAAACAGCCCTTATTTATTTTCGCAGGTTTATTTTCACTTTTGCATACTTTTGTCTTTGCCTTATTTACATTTTTCTCACATTTTCACCCCTTATTTATCTTAATCAGCTGTGCTTTTTATCTGTTTATGTTTCCCAGTTTCACTTTTAGCAAGCTGTTGACTTTGTTTATTTATATTATACTTTATGTTGATTTTGCTGATCATTTTAAATTTTATTTATTTTTCAGCATGCTCACAGGTTTGATTTTCAATTAAAAAAAATATTTTTAAACAAACTATTACTTGGCTTGTCCAAATTTATTTGTTTAAATGTATGTAAATGAAACTTTAACATATTTTAAATTTTTTAGCACTTATAGCACTGGTTTTTGTCAATTTAATTTAAATTTTTAATTGACCTTTTCACTTTTAGATAATTGCTTTAATTTCTATAGTTTTATGTCGTTTTACAACATATTTGCAGACTAAACTTGGGTAATTTTCACTTTCTTTTTATAGGTTTCGGTTTTTAATAATTATTTTATGCACACAAACACACAGAAATGCAAAAAACTTGGCAAACAAAATGCCACTATAAATGCGGGGCGTACGAGGCGTATACGTAACGTGCTGTCAATTGCTTTGCCTTCTACTGCCTCCTCTTCGTTCCTCTCTCTCTCCGCCTCCTCTTTATTTTCACAACAATAAACAACAACAAACACGGTTCCGAGATGAGCCTCCATTAATAGAGGGCAGGTCTTTTTTGTATATTTGTTGCTATTTAAATATTCAATTGTTTGCCAATTGAAGAAAATCACACAATCAATATTAATTCGCCAGGCGTGCTTTTAATAATTTTGATTTTTTTTCTGCCCCAAGAAGGGGGCGAAGAGAGACACAACACAGAGAGGACACCAAACAAAAACACAACACACAAAACACAAACCAACCGTTAGCGTCATCACCGCACAACGCACATTTCACGAATGAAATCAAATGCGAAATGAGCACAGGCCGCGTCGCTGGCAGCACAGCACAGCACAGGCACTTTTCCGTTTCGTTTTCCATTGCCTTTGCCAGCTTTTTGCCAGCGCATGCGATTCCTCCTTCAGCTCCTTTAATCCTTGATTCCACAACTCTTCCCCGTCAGCTTTGCTTGCCATTTGTTTACCTGTGCGTTTTCTTTTTCTTATTTTTTATTTTTTGTTTTTCGTCTTCTGGGGGTTGCTTTTGTTGCTGTTTCCACATCTGATTTGTTTATCGCGGGGGCGGGCGGGCAGCACAACAATTTTTGTTTATTGCTGAGCAAAAGAGCCGGTAACGGTAGTAGCTTGAGGAAAGAGAGAGAGTTACAAAGAGAGCAACAATGATTCAGAGAGTGCAGGTGCGCAGTGAGAGTTTGGATGCGGCAGGCTTCCTCTATACAGAGAAAAATAAACTATATATATTCTCTAATTTAAATCTTTATCAATTTTAGATCTGATTACCCAAGACCGCGTTTTTAAATGTGAAAATAGAATCGAGTAGCTTTAAAAAAATATATGTTGCATACTTTAAGGACCGTCTTGATCCGTTTAGTTTTCTTAAAGTATTACGATTTTATTTATAAAGTATAAAGATGAATTTTTCAAACTTTAATACATATTTTGAATGTATCAAAATTTATTTTATTTATTTGATGGGAACACCTATGCGTTGGCTCTCCAGTTTGATTAGGAATATGTGCATAAAGACCACTGTTAACGGAAAAGGATTTTTAGCAGTGGGAACACTTATGCGGTCGCTCTTTCCGTTTTCCGGTAAAACTCTTTTGGGCAGTGAGAACACTTCTACGGTCGCTCTCCAGCGTGAGTTTAAAAATGTTTCTGGAGATCACTTCTCCAGGGAAATTTTCTTAAGCAGTGGAAGAGTTAGAGCTTAACAATATTTAAGTTCAGCTCCATTTTAATTTATATTCTAATTCGTTTGCTAAAAAACTCTTGCAAAATGGTGTTTTCGATCAGCTCAATTAATATCTTGCATGATTTCGGTGCACTTCCAATATGAATTCTTCAATACGTAATGTGATTACTTGTTTAACTTCAGATTCTGTTATTAAATTCAAATATAATGATTTATAAAAATAAATTTCTGATTTACAAAATGTTAACATTTTACATTTGGTATACAAATTCACTAAATGAAAAGTTGCGTTGAGAGGTAACAGGTAAATGCAAATGTCGAGGGCCTTTTGCCACACTTTGATTAACCCTCAGTACTGTATCAGGGAATGCACTTTTCCATCCAGTCTTTTGCGACCCTCCAGGTCTACGAGCTCCATAACCACCAGACTCTCGACGATAATGCCACCCACTTTGCGGATTAGCTCGGATGCAGCCACCAGGGAACCACCGGTGGCGAGGAGATCATCCACAATGACCACCTTCTGTCCGGTCGAATTGCGGAACGCTGAATCTCAAAGGTGTCCTGGAAAATAACAAAAGGTATTTAATTATTTTGCAAAATATAGTCTACTACTTATACTTACACTACCGTACTCCAGCTTGTATTCCACGGAAACCACCTCGCCCGCCAGCTTGCCCTTCTTCCGAATGGGGGCACATCCCACTCCCAGTTCGGTGGCGATTAGTAGGTTGAAGAGAAAGCCCCTAGAGTCCAGGCCCACAATTATCTCAGCCTCGGGAGAGCTTTGCCTGATGTGTGCCACCAGCAAATCCCTCAGATAAGCACAGGCCTTGGCATCGGTGAGGGCTCCGAAAATGTCGCTACATGAAAACAGAGGGCTCTACACATTAACAACCTTGATACAGAGCTCGATTACTGTCGACTGTGTAAATATAATTGATGGAACAATCATTTGTGCCCCAATCACAGATAACCTCGTCGCAGTACGATGTGAACTCACCGGAACACTATGCCTGCCTTTGGAAAGTCTGGATATTTGCCAATCTTGGATTTCACGTAGTCCAGTTTTTCAGAGGTACTGATTTCGCTCATCTTTCCGGGTATATTTGTTTGTATATCTAATTAATTTTAAGGGAATTTTTACAAAAAGGTCTATAGATTCGAATACTACGTGAGTGCGTGCCGAATTGGGTGAGTGGGAACAGCTGATAGCTCAGCTGCTATCAGGGTTAGGTGGTTGCTGCGGATGGGAGATACATCGTTCGATTAATTCTCGTGTTGAGTTCGGCGAGGCGGTCTTTTTAAAATTTAGGTGGAAATAAAAAACTCAACAATATAATAAAACTGTATCTTTTATCTTATGAAGAATAATAAAATTAATTAATTGGTTTGGGAGTATATAAATATTTAATAAAGGCAGAACTTGGTTATAGAGTTTAGAGTTTGAAAATCGCATTGAAAAACAGTAAATATTATATACTTTTAGATACAAATGTCAATCGATTTACAGACAGAAATTTCTAATTAAATTCATTCAAATATTGTTGTTATTTAAAAGAAAATCATACTTATCTCTTAATTTTAATCACGTTTCCTGGGTTTTTCTGACCAAATGTTTGTCTATGCATTTTCTTGCACAAAGAAAGCAGTCCTTGGAATTCACAAACATCCTGCAGGTAGCTGGCAGCGTGGAAAACCTCCCCCGTTGCCTCTGTGAACTATCTCCTTGTTGACCAAAAGATAAGTGGAGGAGAAATCTCTGCAATTCTTCGAGGGAAAGACATTCATGGCTGCATTATCCATAAGCCGAGCCAGCTGATGAGGCAAAATGATTGGAAAGAAATGCAAACAATTTTCGCTGCACTTATCGAAGGCGGCTTGTTGATCGAGGGAACTCTCTCCAGGGCTCTCTCGGAAACACAAGTGAGATACAGGTAGGTAAAGGTGTGCGTGAGTGTGAGTATCTGTGTGTCTGTGTATCTTTAACGCTTCAAGCCAGCGAAATATTCAGTTCGTCTTTCAGCGCCGTACGGAACGGTTGAGCCAAGTCTTAGTGCGGTTTCTTGAAACGGATCGAATTCTCAGCCCGCGACTTTTTCAATAATTAATGCCAGATCGCGAACGGCGAACCACGCGCGACAATAGCTACAAGATATATATTTAAATAACAACAATAACCGTCACCCATAAAGCCAAGTTAAAGTCGAAACCAGTTCTCGATCAACGTAAGCAGAAAAGCAAGAGTTTGCAAAATCCTCAAATTAAGCGCGATCTTAACGGCAAAAGTAAATGTCAGCCAACCGACAAAACTGCGCCCCGTTTTTCTTTGCCATTTTGCTAAAGTCGGATAACGACATACAACAACCAAAGCAACAATATTGCATTCACAACAACAAATAACTTAAAAACTAGCAACAAAGTTCAAGCAAACATAAAAACGTGAAAACCTACAAAAAAATAGAGGAATATATACAACATTAGACACAACAGCAACAATATGGCAAAGAGTGCAGAAAACATTCACATTCTCATACACATACGAGGTTACACTGGGAATAAGAAACTTTAAGTCAAATACCCTTTTTATTTTAGGGATAAACCAAGGATATGTGATGAATAATATAATATAAATACTGAATTACTAAAAAATTACTAGGGTTTTAATAGAGTTCTTTTTATGAGGGAAATATATATTACTCAACGAATTATTAAAGAAGGTTCAAATAACTTTTTAAAAAGAACCGATTTTATATATCCTGAAAAGATGCAATCGATATTTACAATCTGGCATTAAATTTTAAAATTTCAATTATTATTTTACGTATTTCTTTCGGTGTGTGCAACACATACACTCATATATCTTGGTAATGTGAAGACGTGCGTATTGATGGCGGCAACAACTGCAGCAACAACTGCTGCAACTGCAACAGCAACTGCAACAACAACTGCTGTGCGCCCGAGTAACGTGAAAAACCAGAAAGAGCACAGTTTTTTTTTTGCTTTTCTGTTGGTTTTGTTTTTACCTTTTTTTTTGAGGCAAACGAGCATCTTGGCTGAAACTTTTGCGGCTGCGCAGTGGCGGCCTTCGCGGTGAAGGGCATGGATATAGGGCGCTATGGAAAAACCAGTAGGAAAAAAAAGGGAAATTTAGCAATGGTTTTAGAGGATGGCTTCAGCTATTTTAAATATTTAACTCAAATTTGTGAAGATAAACAGAAGGGAGGAGAAGGACTTAAGAAGTTTAATGCTCTTTTGCCTTAAGATATGCAAAGATATTAGTATATATATTTTATTTAGGATTTCATTAAATGGATAACATTTTCTAGCTTACTTAAAGAGCCCAAAAGAACCTATTTTGGGAACACTCGAAGCCGCTCCTGGCTTTCGTGGCCCAAAGCCGAGTGAAGAATCTCTCGGTTTGAGTTACTATTATGTGTAGAGACCCCCATTGTGGGCCCTGTTCATGGTGCTGGCTCTTGATATGCGCGAATGTTTGCTAACATCCAAATCGTGATCTAATAAAAAACGTAGGAAAACCGAGACACATTCCTACCCGCCAAAGTGAGTGAGCGGACCAGCTCGAATCGGATGCGATTGGATGGGGCCTAAAGCCTCTCTTCAAAGGGGCCGTGTGGATATATGGCTGCCTCCGACTTTCGCAAAAAAACAAACAAATATAAAATACCGAAAACAGAGACGTCTTCCCAAGATGGATAGCAGCAGCTGTAAAGGCCTGTCAATACACTGAATAAATGACCGCAAAAAAAGCGTTGCCGGTAATTCTTTGGGACAAAAAAGAAATCGTCAAAATATATGCAGAAACGATCGTGGAAGAAACTAACAACAAAAAAAAAGGAGAAAAATGTTTATAAAACGGGGTATAGGGGACCCAAAAAGAAATGGGCAAAGGTGAAAAAGGCGAGAAAAAAAATTCCGAAATACAAAAAACATGGAACCGGAGCCACTTTTAAAGCCATTTCCGCATAATTCTGAAATGTAGGAACCAGTTTCCATGGTGCTGGCTAAAAATTTAGCAACCAACAAGGTGTTGTTTATTACAGAGAGCAAAATTATGAGGCATTTAAACTCTGAAAGTATAGGTATATTCGAAGGAATTTCCACTAACTGATCTTGCTAATCTTAAATCATCAATTTTATTATAAATTATTTTATAAAATCGTTAGGGTTTTTCTCTATGTGTGTGGCTCGTCTCGTCTTGAACATGTTTTAGGTTCCACTTTGTTGGCTAAAAACAAACCATAACAAGCTAGTTACAAGAGCAGTCTTATGTGTATAGATGGACTTCCCTGATCGCCAAGCGGAACAATGAAAGCTTTTCCCCCGCTTAGCCATAATTAGCGGCGTCAAGCTGCAAAGGGGAAAAGCTGAAGAAAAGCTGAAAATGTGAAAATTAATTGCAAGTGCGTGGCCAATTCGGTTGGGGTGAGGGTACCCCGTTTATTTTCAAAGCCAAAAGCCGCTGCAGACACGGCTACTCGTACTCACCTGAGGTGAGGTGTCTGCCCGGCTGTGTCTAATGTGAAATTTATGTTTATTCGGAGTAGAAAGTCATCTGACAGAAGCCCAGGGAGAGATGATGTGATGACCAATGGCGGCATTGGGGCGATGAAAAGAAAGCTTCCTCTCCTCTTCCGTTCGAATTGCAGTTTTCGCAACTGCAACCGGCAATTGCAACTGCAGTGGCACTTTTCAGTTAGCCGCTCGCCACGTTTAAGGTATTGCCATTACCCAACTGACCTTATTTCCCAGCTCACACACACGAGTAGTATGTGCAGTCTCAGCTAAAAAATGTGCTGAGACTGCTGCAACTCACCCAAAGCCGTTAATTTCAGCTTGATTTTCGTGTATTTATTGTTATGCACCGAAAAAACAAAAGATTTTACCCGAAATGAGGGTCAGTCTGACCTTATTTGTCTGACAATAATACCCAAGAAGATACCAACATTGTTATTACATATGTAAATGCTTAATTCAACATTTATTTTCTTGTTAAATTTATTTAATATTTTATGAACTTGACTTGATTTTTCAAAATTGGTTAAATTCATAGCAGGGCTTTACTAATTCTTGATTTCGTATTAAGTTTTGTACACAAAACACATAAATAGTATACAAAATGAAGGTTAATATGTTCAGATTATGATCATGTATTGGTATAAATTTTTGGAGGTTTTATTCATTCAATAATATAATAATAATATAATAGGATTAGTAGCTGTGGTAATAACTTGAGTGAGATAATATGTTAATTTTTAAAATATATTTTTGTAAGTAAAATCTTTTAATTATGTGTTACCTGAAAAAGTTACCTTGTAATAAATATAAATGGGCGAGATATTAGGGTTTTAGGAAATGATTTTAAGAAGATGAGGGCTGTTAGTTATTATTATAAATAATGAAAAATATTATATCCAGGCTTCTCCCGACTTATAAGAAGAAATTCCATATAATTTTTTTGTCTGTACACCTGAATATTGATTTGTTTCTTCCATATTTCTTTACTGTGCAAGTGAAACTCGTCAAAAGTTTGGAATACTTCGTCGTCGCCGTCGCCGCCGGCCGGTGAGCGGATGTAACCCAAGTCCGAGACTGAGACCAGCTCCGCTGATTTTGCTGCGTCATACGAAGGCTCTCCACTGGTCACTTTCTTTTTGGTCACGTTCGAACCTCGAATGGAAAAGGCTGGCGCAGAAGGCAGCAATGCAGTTAATGTAAATGCACGCCCAGGCAACAAGCAAATCACAAAATTACAGCACACAGCAAATGCAAACGGAGAGATACCAGAAAATTATTAGATATTGTAGTGTCTGCGGTATGTCTGCATCTAGCCAATACAATTATATATACTGGCTGTCCACTGCAATTTTCCCCGGCTAGACTCGATTTTCCGGCTCGCCTGTGTTGCGCTTTTCCAGATGACTCACATCGGAGATCGGTTTAATATTATCACGTGCCGAACCGGCAGGAAAGTTATATATATATATAATTTTTTTTATGTTACTGGGTTGGGCTTTTACATTACAATAGGTATTTATGTATTTATTTACTTGTTTGTTCTTCTTTACCTACTCTCTCTTTTGTTGTTAGCATTGTTGTGTTAATCGATTCCGCTTTTGCCTTGGACTCGAACTCCAACTTCGACTTCGACTCAGACTCCGACTCCCATAATTGAGTCTTATTCTCTTTGTTTGCCATGGGTTTAATTCACCTTAATGAACCAATCTTGACCAAGTGGAGTTCGCTTTTGTTTTGCTTCTCACGAGCGGGGCGACTTTGTGTTACAGTTTCCCCGGTTTCCTCATAAAAATAAATATGATAAATAAAAGCAGAAGCGAGGCTGGGAAAACCCCGAGACAAAGCTAATGAAAATGCATTTTGGCAGCAGACATTTTTCGTAGCTATCTTAATGTATTTTTGACCGAAACCAAACAAGTTTGTAGATCGCCAAGCCAGTTTTTTTTTGCGGCTGCTGATGACGATGAATCATGGCTAAAATTAGGCATTTGCTCGAAAATATTTTGCATAATTTCATTCGCTTTTTGGGATCTTTACTCTCTCTCCCTTTGACATAGAATAATTGGCAGATGTGAGGCAACTTTTAGCTAGATAATTGCTGCTTTACATAAGCAAATTCGAAAATATATCCCCCGGCTATATCACTATTTCTCTCTCTCCTTTTTGCGATTATCATCCGCAGCTGAATTGGCAAATGCGAATGTGTTTTTTGGAAGTTGAATTTGATTGAAGTGAAGGGGAAAACTTCATAAAAACTCATTTTTTAATGATTTGAAAATGTTTTTAAGTGGACACGACACATGTAGATGGATGGAAAGTATAATATGGCATATAAGTTGCATCAGAGTTCGATGATACGGAATGTTACGATGCCATTTTATATACAAAGTTTATGTGAGGTTTCCGGATTTTTATACCCTTGCACGAAAGTCAGAAGCTTGAAACGCAGTGAAGAAGTCATTTCCGACCCTATAAGTCATATATATTCTTGATCAGCATGAAGTGCGGAATCAATCTAGGCATATCCAGTCAAAAAATAAATTTTTTAAATTTTTTTCAAATTTTTATAAGGGTTACATCGTTAAAATTTAAATTGAGTATGTTAAATTGAGTATGCTGATTTAAAATGGAATAAAAACGAACATAGGAAAGCTTTCCGAATTGAAAATAATACAATTTTGACTCAGTTACGAGATTTTTAAACTTTGAATTTGTCGAAAAAATTTACATATAAAAAAGTTTATGTATATTGATGTTTATTGTTAGAAATTTATTTCCAGATTCAAAATTTAACAAAAAACTTGTCCATTTATGTGAGTGGATATAACATCCCAAAAAACTCTTTAAATCAAATAAAATATATATCTAAAACTTATTTCCATGCATGAATTGATATTACGTATACGTAATATTGTAACGTATACGTAATATTGCAAAAGTATCGATTTTAGAAAAATGTACTGCACTTCCAGTGAATTGAATATGATTTCCCAATCAAGCCCCAGAAAATAGATTTAAAAATAAGTTTCAACTATTAAATTATAAACTATCAACTATTAAAAATAAACTAAAATTCCATTAAGTATCGCCTCTATTCATTTCTCCCATACAAGATCGATGTTTTATAAATGTCAAGCCCCAGTTTCATGATTTAAGCTCATTACTTTTCCGCGAGGTCATCCAACCAAAAGCTGGCCAATTTAATCAGCTTAAAAATAGTGCGCTCAGAAACCGATTTATGACCGACAAAAACGCAATTGTTGACGTAGCTTTGGTTACTTTCGGTGCCGTCTTCCAATTAATGCCCACGAAACTGGTCGCTAAACACTCAACCACGCTCCACTCCATTCGCAGGCAGACAAAGCAGCAGCATCTCCAGAAAAATGGGAACGAAGATCGAGTACGTGGACACCACGCATCTGTACGCCTCCAAGTACATCCGCAACTCCAAAGCGATCGGTGTGCTGTGGGCCATCTTCACCATCTGCTATGCCATCATCGGCATCGTGGCATTCGTGACGCCAGGTGAGTTGCGACAACTACTCCATCCATGCTCGCCCAACATTTAGCTGATCTGATTTTCACCATTTCTAGAGTGGATCGGGGACCCGGACAACGATGGAGCCGGTCGCTTGGGATTGTGGCAGCAGTGCCAGCGGGATGAGATCTTCGACAACTGTCGCCGTCGCTGGGAGAGTATCTTTTCAGTGCCCACATTCTCGTTTCAGGTATGGGAACCGTTCAAGAAATTAATTACATTTAGTAATTTACATTTTTATGGCATAGATTTATATAATATATTTTGTTTTCTAATTATTTTGTTGTAGTTGGCCACATTCTTTATGCTGGGCGCCATTGCCTTGGCCTTGTTGACCATCTTTTTCTTGGTCTGCTTGCTGTTTATGAAGTCAACACGTGTTTTCCACCTTTGCGGCTGGCTGCAGATTATATCAGGTGAGGGCCGACCTCTATATATTGCTCTATATCTAGCGTATCAAAAACATCACGTTCTCGTGTTTTCTATTGCAATTTGTACATTATTTTTGTTGTTGTATTTATTTTTTAGCTCTGTGCATGATCGTGGCCTGTGCAGCGTTTCCCTTTGGTTGGAACTCGGATGATTTCCGTAAGATTTGCGGCCCGGAAGCCAATCGATTCGAGCTGGGATTGTGCGGCATTCGTTGGGCTTATCCGTTGGCCATTATCGGTTGCATAGACGGAGTGGTCTTGGCCACTCTGGCCTTCATCTTGGCCACGCGGCACGTGCGTCTCCAGCCGGATCCGATTTATCAGAATTCACTATACAAAGGTGGGTGCGATATGGATTTTAATGGAATATATAGTTAATATCGGGTTATATTATCCCTAGGTGAAATCAACAATGCGTATCTCACGGATGCGATTAGCTTGGCGGGGTCCAGGAAATCGAATCCCCGGATAACTGGCTTGAACTTGCAGCCCATTTTGCTGGTGGCACCCCCAAATGAGGATAGTATATCGCAGTTTTCTCGCTATCACTGAGAGAAAAGAAGCCTTCGAATAGCCGGGACAACAACCGACCAAGCTTAGCGCCGCCAGCAACCGGGGTGGAGAGCTAGGCTCAGAGTTTTTCTTTTAGCCAAAAAGTTGTCGTCGGCCAAGAGGAAAGCTTTTAACCGGGTTCAGCAGCAGCTACTTACTGTGTGTGTGTGTGAGAGTGAATTTGAGTGAATGAATGATTTTGTATATGCCACTATGCCCCGACTGAATGCCACAATTCGTAGCTTGTAAGCTTGGATCTTACCAATTAAGTTAACATTTCGTGTGAATAGCTCGTGCCTGAATGTATGCTTCGATTAAGTAAACGCCACAGAGCGCATTTCGAGCTCTCTGCTGCCTGTAAATTATATACGCATAAACAATAAACATGTACAAATATTAAACATATAAATTCCAAGTTTATTTCGACCGCAAATGGTTGCCTCAATTATGCCATCATCATCATCATCAAGGTCAGCAACTTCTGGACTTCTGGCCAAAATCAAATTATGACCTTTGCTGCCGCCCCGCAAATAAAACCAATAACGGCCAACTTAGCGCCCAATTTGTTTGTTTTTTGCCTAAGTCTGGCCGAAAATCTCCTCTTCCCTGCTTCGATAACCATTTGGCACATACTTTTCCAATAAAGTAAGTATTCCCGGCGAGGCCAAGATTTCCTCTACGTTCCTCCTTACTGAGGGGGCGGCAATTGAAATATCTTGGGGCACCAAGATTCGTGCCAAGCCGGGCACGTTTTAATATTCTTGTATAATTCATAAGCAATTCCATCAGCGGCCTAAGTGGCCAACCAGCTGACGCCGAGCAAATCGAGCCCCAGATTCGACAGTCTTAAGGAGCAGGGGGACAGCAGCAGTCAACCCCGCCATTGGAGTTCACTTCTCTGGTTTTGGAATACTCTACTCCATGTGGGTTGAATTAATCTGGGTAGGCTTTTGGTATGTGCACAAATTTGTAAACAGTTTCATAGAAATTTTTATGAACTTTAAATTAATTAATTAGGTGTCTGAAAATAAGCAATGAAATATTTAGTTAGTAATCATTTTATATGGAGTTTGGTCAAAGAGTTTTCATAAGAAAGGTCTAACAAAATGTATAAAAGCCAGTCTGGAAAACAGTTAAACAAATTGATAAAGAACTAACTGAAATTAAATACACATAGGTAAATCTAGACATAGGCCTGATTACTTCTATTGCATCTATGTATATAGATAATATAATTGTCATGGTTAGTACTTACCGCAGTAGGGGACACATGGCTATCCTGCTTCGTCATTGTTTACTTCCTTCCAGTCTAGAGTTGTATTCTTCTTCTTTAAATAGGCTTTCCGGTTGTCCAAATGCATTGATGTAGTTGGGGTCGAAGGGTAATCACAATCACTATCACTGCACCTATCACCATCGATGTAAACGGCGGGACGGCCGCGGACTGACTGAGGGGAGCGCAGCAGATGCACCTCTATTTATACTCCCCGAGGAAAGAGAACAGAGAAAGTGAGAGTGGGAGAGTAAGAGCTATCTCTAGAGGTAGGGAGCAAGAGATGGCTCTACACATGCACATGGAGGGATAGCCATACTGAGAGGGAGAGAGAGAGAGAGAGAGGAAGTTTTGCATTTTTGTTTACATTTAACGATCGTTCCTATGGCAGCTATATGATATAGTCGTCCGATCTTAATAAAATTAAAACCAAAATTAGAAATTAATACAAAATGCCTACCTTAATTTAGATGAAAATATTTTAAAAACTGGAAAAGTTATTATATGTTTTCAAAACATTTTCCGATCGTACCTATGCCAGCTATATGATATATATATATATATATATAGAATACATATATATCGTAGGAAATTTCTCCTTCCCTGCGTTGCCAATTTGTGACTAATAATTATAGAAATTAATTCCGTTTATAATTTAATTTTTAAGAGTATTTTTCAATTCACGTTGCTTGAGTCCACTTCCCTTGATTGTTTTTATTTACTTGAGCCATTTCTTTTGCCATCTTTTTGCCGCCTGCAACATATGGCCGGGCGTTTTTCCCCGATTTGTGCCCAAGAATTTTCCTGCCTTTCGTATCCATTCTCCCCCCAGAAAATCACCCAAGGCAAGCCACCCTCCACCAACCTCCCCAATGGCAAATGGCAATGAAGATCTCTGGCATTTCTCGGTGGATTTTGATGTGCCAATTGTTTTTATTCGTTTTTATGGTGCGCCATAAACGAATTTTTAACTTTTGTTGTCCTTGAGGTTTGGCGGCCATTTCATATTGGTGGATATTGGGCTTTTAGAAGGATGGCTATGAGTATGTGTGGCATACATTTATGAGGCCCTTGGCAGCATATGTTGCCGGCGAATATTAGTTTATCACTCGCCATTTTATGGATTTCCAAGTGGCTGGGGGAAATTAGAAGAGTATTACCAAACTTTTTCATGGTTTATTCGTGGAATTTGTGTGGCAATTAAAGGGCTATGATATCGCCCTTTGCCGCAGAAAATCGTTACAATCCTCCCGAAGGCAATTGGGGGAGGAGCGGAACATAACCCCCTTTTACATGTAACACAAAGGCAGAGGCAGATGGAGGAGAAATGAATTGCGCCTTTAAGGTTTTCGTTTAAGTGAAATGTCAGCAACAGAAATTGAATCGAAAATTGTAAAATTGGTTTTGTATAAACATTTTTGCCAAATGAAATGAAAACGCTTTTCTTACGACTCTCGACTTGTACCGCTTGCCTCCTGCCTGCCATGAAATTTCATTCTTTTGAATCGTTTTCCTACGTTTCATTTTCTTTTTCATTTTTATTTCCCTCTGCTTTTTCCCCAACTAACTCCGCCTGGGCAACATAGCAAAACATCATATTTCTTGTGCCTGTTTTTATATTTCCGAAACAAAAGAAGGCTAGAAAACTAGAGCCTCCCTTCTTCTTCTGGAACATGTGTATAATTTATTGCTCATACGACCCGTGTGCGTGTGTGGATTGCCTTTCGCTGGAAAAGCGGAAAATTCTTTGCTGTATGGAATTGTGGAAATGTCAAAAGTGCGTCAATCAACAAAAACTTCAAGGAACAGAATGGTCAAAGCTCTAGTTTTTTGTACAGTGCATTTTTTCATCGTTTTTTATATACTTTTGATTTATAAGATCCTGGGAATGGGTTTTGGAACTGGAAACTCTGCTTGGGGAAGGAGAATCTGTTGTTAACACTGGGATTTATGCTTACAGTTGGGATTTATGGGTTCTACACAAAGTATTTTAGAAGAAAATATTCTATAAATCAGAGAACAACCACTATATCTTTGAAAACACCAAGAAAAGTCAGTACAATATTCTTCACAAAATCTCCTTTCATTTTATAAATGATTTTCGCAGTTTTTACACTTACATTAAATACACAATAATTTCGTACATCCTCAGCCTAAAGAATATTTAACAAATACATAATATACATAATTAGTGTCTAAGGAGAAACTAGAGAATGAGCGCTCGCATTTTTCACATTGTAAATATTGACTAGTGAATTATTTGTAGCATTTTTATACAAATTCATACGTCTATCTACAAGTTAGTTAGTGGCTAGAGGCAAACCCGTTTTGGCGTTTGATGGATAATGATTGATTGATTCGATGTGTGGTAACTACTGAGTAATGATAATGCTTATGCAGTGGCAAGAACTTCAGGTATGTGTATATGCCACGATTTTGGCCAGAACGAAACTAACATTAAGACAGGGACACACTCACAGGCACAGTCACAGACACGGACACACACCCAGGCACAGATTCACGCCCTAGAAACCTACTTAAAACTAGTCTTAGCGCCTACCACTAAACTATGACTCCCAACTGACTGTTCAGGCTTCCATCGATTATGGGCTGTGCGTCCTCCTCCTGCTGACCCTCGCCCAGGCAGGTGGCCATGGGTCCGTGCCTCAGCAGGGAGTAGCTGTCGCGATGGTGCACCAACAGGCGATGCTGCTGGTGGGCTATGAAGCTGCTGCCACGTCTTAAAGAACGCCTCCCCATCTCCAGGATCTCCAGCGTGGGATCACGGGCAAACACAAAGTTCTGATAGGTTCGTACCAAGCTGAAAACAATGGCAAAGGCACCGCCGATGATCATCAGGTAAGAGCCAATGGGCACGGCATTCGGGGCAATCACAGTGCCCAAATAAATCCAACGCTTGATGGCCGGCGTCAGCTCCGAGATGCCCTGGAGAAGGTCCAAAGAGAGATTAGATTAGATTTCCGGGTGTGGATGTGATGTGATGACTTACCTCCTCCAGCCACATGACCGGAAAGACAAAGTCTCGAAAATCACGCACTGGATAGACGTCCTTGGCACGCGTCACCTTAAGGTTCAGTTGTATGCGCACTTTGCCCTCCAGCGGTACTCCAAGTTTCTAAGATACATAAGAAATAATTAGGAATTACAAAATTAATAATGATTACTTCCTAAATTAAGTGGTAATAGTAATAAGAAACTCGCACTCACCGGTTGTATTTTGAAGTACGTTTCATGCTTTTCCCGCTCTGGCTTCAGACCCTCCACGGAGTTGAGAAGATCTGGATGGGACTCGAAGAAATGCGGGTTGGATATATAGACGGGGGCTCCATACTGACAGGGACTGATGTTCTGGAGACCCTGCACTGCCTCGTAGTCGTTCGAGTCGTAGCACTTGTTCTCGGGATTGTGCGCCGAGTCACCGTACGAATTATTGGGCAGCCTGAACAGATCCGCAGCAATGCCATCCTTCTCTAGGCTCTTCACATACTTCAGAGGTATAATCCGGCACAGATCTTTATCGTAGATGTGTACCATCTCGGACTTGGTGAGGTCTCGTGGCGGAAAGAAAGATCCTTCGGATCCGGCTATACTTGTGCAGGGCTCCTCGCCCCAATGAGGCAGGTGATCCATTCCGTTGAGTGAATCAATATAACCGAACTGATCCATGCTCTCCATTCCCGTCTTGACGGAGGACACCTCCGTGAGCGTTCCATTCCGGCCCAGAAGGAGACCCATCTTTTCCATAGGTCTCATGTGCTTTGGGTAAAATCTATGGGCCAAACTCACCAGGGCATCGTCATAGCCAAAGGCCAACTGTTCGGCTGTGACATTAATAAATGGCTTAAACTTGGCCGCTGTTATTACCACCGATATGGTCTTGGATAGTAGGTAACCCAACTTGGGACTAAGGCTCGTGAGGGTCTGTTTGGATAAGAAAAGAATTGATTTAATAAATAAAATATCTATTATCTATTTTTTTAACTATATATCTTAACTCTTAAGCTCTTTAGACTTACCAGTAATGGAATATTGGGCGTGACTATGGGCGTGTCCTTATCAATACTCAGTTCAGGAACAAATTGCAGTATCTTCTTATGCTGATATGACACGGTGTAGTTATTCTCGTGAAACTTCACATTCACCTTCTGCATGTCTTCTCTGAAATTGGTAAAAAAAAGAAGGAACACATTTCGTTATCATTGATCGGCACGTGCTGGTAACTCGCTTTCGTGGTCCAAAGCATTCGGAAATTGAATGTCAAGTTCAGTTAGTCTCAGCTTTAAGCCAAAGAAAACTCACAAAAAGAAACGAAACAAACAACATAAAAAAGGGGCTGCCAATAAACATAAAAAGTAACTACAACAGCGAATGACGGGCATCTTTTTGTTTTTTGTCATTACACCTAGCAATTCCCACACAAATTAATCTTTAAACTCACTGGTGATCCGATGATTGATCACTTTTGGACCGAACGAACTCTCCTCTGAGGTTATCCTTCGGTTAAACGGGTTCCCAGCAAATATGTAATTAAAAAATTGCATTACATTCGCCCGAGCTCTAGATGTTGTAATCTCGCGATCAGCGGAAACTACTCCTCGCAGTGAGCTCATGGCTTAATTGGCCAGCTTGATTGCCGGCCCGCCGGCTCATGGCTTTAGGCCACTTTGATTGAGTGTTAAAATTCGAGCAGCTAATTCCATTGTTTGCACTCTTGCAGTAGCTTGTGTTTAGACTTAGTTTAATCTGATCACGATAGGTTGGTTTATTGAAAGAAATATTAATAGATTTGGAAAAGATAGTTTTAAGAAAATTTAAATTATTATTAGAGAGATTATCTGGTTTTGTGGAACCCATTATTTGTTAAGATAATAATGAGATTAATATAATCAAAATCAATTTACAGACTTTTAAAGCTTGTTCATAACTGATTTGATGATTTTATAAAGATTTACCAGACTCAAACTCCTACTCCATCGCTAAATGCTTGAATGTAACATGTAAATTACTTAATTACTTGCTTTTCAACTGCAATTTGTAAGCTTTTTTTACGTATTCGAAAATAACGTTTAGTTCAAAAAAGTTCAATAGGTTAACTTGTGACCGTTTCCATGGCTAATTTTTGCAGCTACTTGAATTGCTTTTAGCCCTCCATGCGATTCTAATTATGGTTATTAAGACATCAACTTCCGAGTAAACAAAGACCAATGGGAGTGAGAGCGGCTTTAGCACACCGCCATAAAAACGAGTATATTTTTCACATACATTTGTGGACAATGTTTCGCGCAGCGGCGTAGCGAATGTTTCAATTGGCGGGTTTTATGACCAACAATATTACAATAAAATAAAATAAAAACTGAACTGCAACTCACCTGTAAACAAACGGTCCGACCTCCTGCAGCTTGGGCTTCTCGCCGCTGAGGAATCCGTCCGGATTTGTCACATTGTAGATATACAGCTTGGTCAGCCGGATGACCCCGGGCCTCTGCCAATAATGATAGCTCAACGTATCATTCCACAGCCTTAAGTTCTAGAAGGCGAATTCAGATAATTAATAATTTACGTTATTTATAACAGAAATTTTAGGTAAAAACCCACCTTTAGTATAAAATAATCCAGCCAGGGTATGGATGATAAAACTATGCCTAAGATTAAGGTAATTATTCCTATGATTATCACAGCTAGTCTATCTGAAAAAGTCAAGAAAATAAGGGTTATTTAATAAGGATAAATGTGCTTTAAAAAGTAGACTTTATTTAAAAACAAATAGGATGATGTTTGATGTTTCTAGAAAAATATTCTTGCTAAAGACCTACACTGAGTTTCTACGAAAAACTAGAATAAACACAATGACTAAATACATCACGACAGCATTTTTGACGTAGAGGTGTAAGTGCCAATAATTGGGAAAACAGTATACTTTTTTAACTTTAATAATAAATGGCGTGAAAAACTGAAACTTTACTTTGTCATCTTTTCTTAAAATCGTTTAGTTTTGTGTGCAATTTTATAAAGTCAATAAAATAAAGTTATTTGCCGAATTCATTCGAATTTCACGGTGCAATTTCACGGATGTCATCCTCAATTACATCGGTCAACACGATCGCGATCTCGTGGGCGATATATACGAATGATCTTGGCCGACTTATCACAGCACCGGACATATGTCTGACAGCTGCCAAAAATTTATGGTCCTCTGTTATCACTAATTGAAACTTAATCTTTACTTTAATGGTTAATTGGTTCGTGCACTTAGTCTGGTTAACGTACTTGAACACAGAAAGAAATATATGTATATGAAATTGTTAATTTATATCGAAAGATATTGATTTGATTTTATTTAAATAAATTATGATGATATGATATTTGCTTAGACCAAATTCAGTAGTATTAAATATTTCTGATATTATATTGATCTCTATTAATATGAACTTTATTAATATTTTTTCTTTCTGTGCTTTGTTCCCTCCATCACCTTGCTGGCATTTCGGGGCGGTGGGTGTGGCCAGCAGCATGTCGCCTGACTGACTGAATCCGCTGATGATTATGATGATGGGCATACAATGCCAACGGGTTCTGTCCATTTTGAGTATGTTATTTTTATTTTATTTTTATTTTTTTGCATTTGTGGCTGCGGCCGAACGCCCCAGAGCCCCCAGTCAACGAACTGATCACCGGGCCGATCAAGAAAAACTGTTTCGCTATCGGGTTTTTTCGGCGAAAAAAAGCGCCGCCACTGCCCCGAAAAAGTGCAAGGTGAAGCTCTTTTTTTCTGAACAACATAAATTTCAATTTTATTTAATATTTTATAAAATGCAGCACCGAAGTTGCTTCGATTTTCTTAACAGGTCACTAAGTCAAAAAGACTGCCGTCAGCGGGATACGAATTATATTGCTAAAAAGCATGACAGATAGGTAGTTGAAGATTTATTGAATTTAAAATACACTTACATATTGTCTTGCAATTAAAATTGTTTAGATATACTTTTATTGAAATTTTTTAAGTAAGTTTTAATTGTTTGAGTGCCAAAGCTATTCTAGCAATAATATAAGTGTTATTATATTCTAGATATATTTTATAAAGTTAGTGACTGCAATGTTATGGCTAATAAAGCTAAGACCCCTGTGAGGGTACTAAAATAATAACCGGGAGACAGACATCTGTATTGTGAGTGCCATAAATCAGCTTGGAAATTCATTAAACTCGCATTGAAAATGGGCGCGATAATTGCTGTCAAAATATAGACGGATTATATACTTTTTTTTTAACTTCGGGCGGCTTCTTTATCGTTTTTACCATGTTCCACTGACCCTGAAGAGTCTTGTCGGCCATAAACTGTGTCCCAGAGAAAGTTACGCAAAAAAGTAAAAAGCAGAAAAGGTAAGTGAAAAAACGGCTTTAAGAGCAGGTGTGCAAGTGTCATAAAACGAGACACATAACAATGTTTTTTTGGGCCTTACAGACAAGGTCAAGGGAAGCCAACAACGACGGAAGGAGACCTCAATGGAAGGCTTTATCTTCAGTCCGGTTATTTGGTTATTTGGAGTTACTGCTCTTCTAAGCCGCCGGATAATGTTACTGCAATCGAACGGCGATTGCACATCGGGGATCGGGGACCAAGATATAGCCATAGCCACTGCGATATGGTCACTAAACAAGTGGCACACAATTGATACGTCGACCAACTGACTAACTGACTGTTGACAATTATGCTGATCCCAGTCCAAGCAATTTTTGTTGCCACTTATTTTGATGTTTCGGTTTTGAGTTATGTTTTGTTATTTTGCGGCTCGTTTTTGCCATTTCGTTTACCTGTTCGAAGCGGGCAGTGAGGTTTTTAGTTACAACAACAGCAGGGGTGGGACAAAAGGGGAACTGGGATATAATATATATATTATTCTTAGTATAAAAAGAAAAATATTTTTTAAAATTGCATTATATAAAAATGTAGATTTTTAAGATTTGTTTTCTTGCCAAAAATTTGGCTTAGAAAAATCATTTTTTCTTGTAAGTAGAACAGGAAAGTAATCCATGTTTCGAAATGTTTGTACGAGTACAATTATAATAATAATTGTCATTTCAAATTTGTTTTCCTTAAGTTTTCCCCTTGAATTCGTAAACATTAAAGTTGAATCATCTTCTCTGGTACCCCCTTACGATAAGCCCCTGCTACAATTGGATTTAGCCGCTGGTGTCATATGCTCGTTTCTTTTACAAAATTACAGCTGAGCACGCGATATTCACAATTCCGAGCTTCTAGTCTCCGAAGCTAAATGAAAACCACGCACAAAGGTTAAATAAAAGCGTTAAGAGCGAAGCGAGACAACCTTTAGAGCAATGTAATGGACTCTAGATTATGAAACATTTAAAAATAAATGATATAAAATTTGGGAGGTGTAAATGGCATTACCCTGGGAGGTCTGCATACTGCGTTTGTTGATGCTATTAAAAGATTCTTTCTAAAATTATAATAACCTGCAAAAGGGTGTAAAAACAGTCAATTTCTTTTAATAATCAGTGTTTTTCAAACATCATAATTAAACCAAAATCGTATCAATTTTAATTCGGAAAGCTGTTCTGTGTTAGTTTTTAAATCGCTAATAAATCTGCATACTCCGTTTTTGAATTTTAAAATTTCAATTTTTTGCCAAATTTTGACAATTTTAATGATGTAACCCCTTATCTTTTTTTGACATTTTGGAAAAAATGCAAAAATTTATTTTCTTACAAGACATGGCTAGATCGATTCAGCTGTTCATTCTGATCAAGAATATATATAATTTATAGGGTCGGAAATGATTCCTTCATTGTGTTCTAAGCTTCTGATTAATACTAATACCCTAAAAAAGGTATAAAAACAGGCAATTTTTTTAATAATCAGTGTTTTTCAAACATCATAATTAAGCCAAAATCGTATCAATTTCAATTCGGAAAGCTGTTCTGTGAAAGTATTTAAGGCGCTAACAGATCTGCATACTGCGTTTGTTGATGCTATTAAAAGATTCTTACTAAAATTATAATAACCTGCAAAAGGGTGTAAGAACAGTCAATTTTTTTTTTTAAATCAGTGTTTTTCAAACATCATTATTAAGGCAAAAATGCGTTAATTTCAATTTGAAAGGCTGTTCTGTGTTAGTTTTTAAATCGCTAATAAATCTGCATACTCCGTTTTTGAATTTTAAAATTTCAATTTTTTGCCAAATTTTGACAATTTTAATGATGTAACCCCTTATCTTTTTTTGACATTTTGGAAAAGAATGCAAAAATTTATTTTCCCCCAAGAGATGGCTAGATCGATTCAGCTGTTCATTCTGATCCAGAATATATATAATTTATAGGGTCGGAAATGATTCCTTCATTGTGTTATAAGCTTCTGATTAATACTAATACCCTAAAAAAGGTATAAAAACAGGCAATTTTTTTAATAATCAGTGTTTTTCAAACATCATAATTAAGCCAAAATCGTATCAATTTCAATTCGGAAAGCTGTTCTGTGAAAGTATTTAAGGCGCTAACAAATCTGCATACTGCGTTTGTTGATGCTATTAAAAGATTCTTTCTAAAATTATAATAACCTGCAAAATGGTGTAAAATAGTCAATTTTTTTAATAATCAGTGTTTTTCAAACATCATAGTTAAGGCAAAAATGCGTTAATTTCAATTTGAAAGGCTGTTCTGTGTTAGTTTTTAAATCGCTAATAAATCTGCATACTCAGTTTTTGAATTTAAAAATTTCAATTTTTTGCCAAATTTTGACAATTTTAATGATGTAACCCCTTATCTTTTTTTGACATTTTGGAAAAAAATGCAAAAATTTATTTTCCCCCAAGAGATGGCTAGATCGATTCAGCTGTTCATTCTGATCAAGAATATATATAATTTATAGGGTCGGAAATGATTCCTTCAATGTGTTATAAGCTTCTGATTAATACTAATACCCTAAAAAAGGTATAAAAACAGGCAATTTTGTTTAATAATCAGTGTTTTTCAAACATCATAATTAAGCCAAAATCGTATCAATTTCAATTCGGAAAGCTGTTCTGTGAAAGTATTTAAGGCGCTAACAAATCTGCATACTGCGTTTGTTGATGCTATTAAAAGATTCTTTCTAAAATTATAATAACCTGCAAAATGGTGTAAAATAGTCAATTTTTTTAATAATCAGTGTTTTTCAAACATCATAGTTAAGGCAAAAATGCGTTAATTTCAATTTGAAAGGCTGTTCTGTGTTAGTTTTTAAAGCGCTAACAAATTTAAAAATTTCAATTTTTTGCCAAATTTTGACAATTTTAATGATGTAACCCCTTATCTTTTTTTGACATTTTGGAAAAAAATGCAAACATTTATTTTCCCCCAAGAGATGGCTAGATCGATTCAGCTGTTCATTCTGATCAAGAATATATATGATTTATAGGGTCGGAAATGATTCCTTCATTGTGTTATAAGCTTTTGATTAATACTAATAACCTAAATAAGGTATAAAAACAGGCAATTTTTTTAAATAATCAGTGTTTTTCAAACATCATAATTAAGCCAAAATCGTATCAATTTCAATTCGGAAAGCTGTTCTGTGAAAGTATTTAAGGCGCTAACAGATCTGCATACTGCGTTTGTTGATGCTATTAAAAGATTCTTACTAAAATTATAATAACCTGCAAAAGGGTGTAAAAACAGTCAATTTCTTTTAATAATCAGTGTTTTTCAAACATCATAATTAAACCAAAATCGTATCAATTTTAATTCGGAAAGCTGTTCTGTGTTAGTTTTTAAATCGCTAATAAATCTGCATACTCCGTTTTTGAATTTTAAAATTTCAATTTTTGCCAAATTTTGACAATTTTAATGATGTAACCCCTTATCTTTTTTGACATTTTGGAAAAGAATGCAAAAATTTATTTTCCCCCAAGAGATGGCTAGATCGATTCAGCTGTTCATTCTGATCCAGAATATATATAATTTATAGGGTCGGAAATGATTCCTTCATTGTGTTCTAAGCTTCTGATTAATACTAATACCCTAAAAAAGGTATAAAAACAGGCAATTTTTTTAATAATCAGTGTTTTTCAAACATCATAATTAAGCCAAAATCGTATCAATTTCAATTCGGAAAGCTGTTCTGTGAAAGTATTTAAGGCGCTAACAAATCTGCATACTGCGTTTGTTGATGCTATTAAAAGATTCTTTCTAAAATTATAATAACCTGCAAAATGGTGTAAAATAGTCAATTTTTTTTAATAATCAGTATTTTTCAAACATCATAGTTAAGGCAAAAATGCGTTAATTTCAATTTGAAAGGCTGTTCTGTGTTAGTTTTTAAAGCGCTAACAAATCTGCATACTCAGTTTTTGAATTTAAAAATTTCAATTTTTTGCCAAATTTTGACAATTTTAATGATGTAACCCCTTATCTTTTTTTGACATTTTGGAAAAAAATGCAAAAATTTATTTTCCCCCAAGAGATGGCTAGATCGATTCAGCTGTTCATTCTGATCAAGAATATATATGATTTATAGGGTCGGAAATGATTCCTTCATTGTGTTATAAGCTTCTGATTAATAGTAATACCCTAAAAAAGGTATAAAAACAGGCAATTTTTTTAATAATCAGTGTTTTTCAAACATCATAATTAAGCCAAAATCGTATCAATTTCAATTCGGAAAACTGTTCTGTAAAAGTATTTAAGGCGCCAACAAATCTTCATTCTGCGTTTGTTGATGCTTTTAAAAGATTCTTACTAAAATTATAATAACCTGCAAAATGATATAAAAACAGTCAATTTTTTTAATAATCAGTGTTTTCCAAATATCGTATTTAAGTTAAAAATGCATAAGACACACTCGCACAAGACATGGCTAGATCGATTCAGTTGTTCATTTTGATCAAGAATTTATATGATTTATGGGGTCGGAAATTACTCCGTCACCGACTTAAGGGTATAAAAATAACCCAAAAATAGTAATACAACAAAATAAAAAGAATAAACGTGTAAAGTATATGGAGTTTCCCAATTGCCTGTTAAAATTAACGCTCACAATTACCGGTATCCATATAGCTGCAGCTGCTTCGCAGCTCTTGGCCAACATCAGCTAGAGCTATAGCGTCTAAAAGCCAACAAAGCGTGCTGCTGGTGGTCATAAACCATTTCAATAGACCGTTTCTGGTACCCGGACAATAGCAAGTGCAACAATAGAGCAAAACTAAACAGTTGCAGCGCCAGCATCGAGCTGAGATTTCGTTTAAGAACGTGCCGCCTCGGGGGCAGCACAATATAATAATTATAATAATAATGATAAAACCTGTGATTCAAGACTTGATTCAAGACTCGATTCAGATACCGCTTCCCCTGTATCTTTTATGGCCATGTAAACACTTTTGTTTATGCAAATAATTGCCATTCCTTGCGAACCACGCTCACTTCCTCGTACGCGCCACAATTGGCATCACGTGTCGTCGTCCGTATCTCAGGGGATCCCTACTGCTCGGTGGGATTGGGATTGGTATTAAGACGAGGCCCAATTAGCCGTAACAAAGGGCAATGCTATGGGCATGTCCCACGAAAAACAAATCGCAACAACAGCAACCGGTTTTCTTGGACACCAGCGGGACGTGCCTTCGCCGCAATTTTGCATTTAAGTTATCGCATTTCGGCCCTTAATTAAAGCATTTACAACTGATTTTCGCCCTGGATAAGGACCAAGCCCCGAATGGAGGGCTTTTTATGGGTGAGAGAAGTGCCGGCTGGCCAGCTGAAGGTTAGGAGAACTGGATCGAGATGAAAGGGAAAATTTTGCAGGGCATCGGAAATCCTGGGGAGAAACCCGGAGAATGGAAAGTGAACATGTAATCGATATAGGAAAAGGCTTTATTTTCTTATTTATGGGACCACTTAAGCTCCATTCATGGAATTTCTTTTAATGGTTTTAAATTGTGATACATTATGCTTACTAAATAATCTCTTTCCCAGAGAGCCCCCTTAAAATAATACACTATGTTAACTTTTGCTCGTTGAAATTCTGTGTCAACGTCTTACGAATTCCAACGCAGAGTGGCCAAAGAGCTAAGCACGATCTTGGCAAGGCCTTAATGCCAGCATCTGGTTATATAATCGCACACACACAAGCATAAGCTTAGTCTTGCCAAAGAGTCCGCATTGCCGCTGAGGGAACTCTTCTTCTAGACCCACTTGAGCTGCATCGACAACTACCGCGCCTTTTTCTGTTTCTGTTTGAGCCAAGCCAACACACAAGACATAGAATTGGCCAAAAAGCTTAAGCAAACGCTGGTCGGCCAGCCTGCCCGCCTGCCTGCATGTGTTAATTTATGCTCACTCTCCCGGCTGTCGGGCATCCATGGCGGCTACTTGATTTCGCACTCGAAGCCACTCCACTTCATGTCGCTATCACTGACCGCTTCAAACCACTCAGGAACTCAACTCGCACTCATTCAGCATTTTGTAGCTTCACAGCGAGGCACAGGAAAAAATATATATAAGCCACTTGTTGGATTACTATAAGTATTTAAGGTGCTTACAAATTGATGAAGTATTAATATAATAATATCTAGGCAATATGAGATATTCTTTGTCATTATTTTAGTTATTATTATTAACTAAACTCTTAAAGAATAAAACAAGTTAAATTTCTTGCCGTGTCCAACCAATTGATTTGGCAACATTTTCATATTTGCTTTGAATGAGCTTTTGGCTGTTATTTTCGGTTGCATTGGTCTGCGTTAGTCCGAGTATTCGGCTAATAGTGGCCAGTGTTGCTGGCCACCGCGCTTTCAATTGCCAATTTTAATTTTGCCTTTTTGCCTCACTTGTGTTTTTCTTAATGCTGCCTGTTGTTTGTCGTGGCCTGTATTATGTCCGAACATTGCATTAGAATTGCCATTGCCCAAGCACATGGCATTTATGAAGAATTCATCTGGCGACGACAGCTTCCTCAATATAATATTAATTCGCAAGATTATCTCGAATTGCCCCACTCTTTGTCTCAGCATAAAAGCGAAACCAGTTGCCTTTAAGTCCGGGTATCATCATTGTTAATCCCTATCCGATCGTCACGTCTCTTGCCAGAGTATCATAAATAGCTCCAGTACTGGCACTGACACTGGGCAAACATGGCTCGAAAGCCTGACCAATAGTCAAGTGCAAAGCGCTTAAAACATAATTCTATATAAGAGCGACAGAATGCCATCGAAAATGCCTATGGAAAACCGAAGTGAAACCGAAACCGTATCGAAAAAAACCTGAAAATATAGAGAAAAGCGAAACGTAAACAAAACGGAGCCTGGGCCCCAAGTCTAAGCCAAGTTCAGAGCGCTGCTGTCTCTGTCTCTGTCTGGCGAATGTTCTTGGCCATGGTTACTTGGCCTGCTCGCTGTTTGCTTTTGCACACTTGGCTGCCTTCGCTTCGAGTAGCGATTTGGCTTGGCTCACTCGGCGTATACGCAATGTCGGCCATTGCAAAGAACGCTATACAGTCACTCTCGGCTGGTGTGTGTGTGTGTGTGTGTGTGTGTGGCTAGAGCGTCTGTGAGTTTCCTTGATTTACATCTGCGCTTAGTTGGCTTTTCGACTTTTAGTTTTCAAGTCTGCCACTAAATTGTTTTTATTTTTTTTGTCAGTTTTTTGTTTACGGTTTGCTTGGTTTTTCCTTTCAACCAAAAACAAAATCAAATACTTGTTTTCAATCTTTTCGGTTGCAGTTCTTGGATGACCAGTTTGCGGTATTTTTGTTTCTTTTTTTTTTTTTAATTTCAATCTGTCAATGCAGCTAGTTGGGCTTTTGATTTTGGCCAAGTTTTAACAAGTGCCTGACCAATTTGGCTGTTGATATTGACTTTTAGTTAGCTAATTGAGCATTTAATAGCATTTTTCCTTAATTCAATTTTTTTTTGTCGATTGACGAAGGTGATAAAAGATTGAAGTCTTGTCATTGAAGTGGTTTCCTTTTAGGGAAAATGTGGAAATGTATATCTTTTTCGTGGGTTTAAAAAAAATTAACATAATATTAAGACTGGTATAATATATAGTTCTTAAAGTAACTGGGAAAATATTTATATTTGCTTGGCATTGTTCAAAGATTTTTCCTACATTCCCATTAGGTTCAACTTGTTGACATTTAATTTCAAGAATTTCTATAAACAATTCCTAATTTTTCCAAAAAATTTCCATAAATCCATTACAGTTGTTTTGCTTCATGCTGAAATTATTCCACTAATTGTTTTCTAGCTGTTCTAACTTTTAATTCCGTGTCTTGTTTATAGCTCACCTTATTCATACGAATGACTGGCATGTTTTTAGGTTTATACATATAATTAAGTGGACTGTACTTACTATTGCTAATCCTAACTCCATGAGATATCAGCATGGAGAGCGGCGTACCCCTGTGTGTCACATGAGGGCGAGACCTCCGCCCCGTGGCAGTTGTAGCTGTTGGGGTTCCCTGTGATGGCAGTTGTTGCTGCTGTTGCTGCTGCTGATGCTGATGCTGCTGCTGCTGCGGTTGCTGTTGGAGTTGCTGATGCTGCTGTTGATGTTGCTGCTGCCGTCGATTACGCCCACAGGTGGCCCAGTCAAGGATGTGATCTCTAGCGGTGCGTCCATATCGCAGGTAATGTTTTTCCAAGCCCATAATTCAAGTCTAACGGGAGAAGGTACAGATAAAGAAAAAAATATAATAAATTTAAATTAAATTGCTCTCAATTCGTAAGTAAATATGTACATAAATAATTAATTAAATATGTCATTATTGATTAATTATTTAATTGCGCAGATAATATAAATATTGCTTATTTTTCTATAGAGCTATCTTGTTGTAGAGGTCGTAAATTATATAAATATGTAAGTTTCCATTAATAAGAAAACACCATAATAAAAACTAATTGAATTAAAAATCCAAAGCGGTTTAATCAGCACAAAATCGTAATAAAAAGGTAATATAAATCTGATTACTGATTAATCTATAATTGGAATATTCAAATTATTAAATATTTACAATATTTATTATTCAAATTTGATATTTAATTAAATTAATATACTTTTAGCTCTGTGTAGGAAAAAAACTGCTTGAAATTAAAGCTTGTTTGAGGTGGATTAGTTCAATATAGTAAACAAACCGCGATGCGGGGATATTTATGGAAAGCAATTAAAATCGAATTTAATGTCTACCGTGTCTGCCAAGCACTTCCTGAGGTCAGTGTCTAATCTCAGTGAAGAGGTTCTTCATAACATTATGCTAACACCAACAGGAACTGAAGGCCTTGGCACACTCCTGGTAAGATTTCGGCAGATTAGCCCCACAAAAACCGCAATAAATCGTGCCATAAATTTCATTTCAACAATATAATCACATATGTTTTTATTAGCCGCGCCGAGAGCTGTAAATACATTTGTCACTCGGTCGGTGGGTACGTGATTGCACGGGGAACCCTCTACGTTGGCAGGTCGTTACCTGAAGCCACAGACAGCACTATGCTAATTGGTGGCTGCTGATGCTGTCCGGTTGCCCGGCACAGTTTCATTTGCTAACTAATTGAAAATGCAGTTTTTAAAATGGAAATTTTCAGGCGGTCCAGGAAAACGTGAAGAGCGCAGAGTTCTGATGAACTAAAGGCGGAATCGAACACATATCAATGCACGTGTGCTATAAAATCAATCTTTAGATTTTTATAGTGCAAAATGTGGTTTTAATTAAAGTCGCCATGAATAGAATGAAGTAAATGTGATAATTATATGGTTGCAATGATTTGTGAAGAATTTTACAAGAATTAAAAGAAGTTGTACAGTTTTGGTTTTTAATAAAATAAAGAACATAAAAATATTAGTTAGAACTCTTGATTTAGATCGATGAATACATTTACATATCAGTCTCTAGATTGAATGATTTAAGAAGAATGTCGCTTGGCATAAAGTCACAAAGGAAAATTAATAGTAAAACTTTCCATGGGAAGTCCAGTGGCGAAAAACAAATGACTCAGGCAACGAACTTTGCATACTTGGACCTATGCTTGGAGTGGACTTTCATTAAGCTGAGCTCTATTTTTGTCGCTCTCCGTGTGAGCTCATAGCCGAGAGCTTACCAAGATCTCCATTTAAGCCGCATCTTAACTGAGGGCAAATTATATTTAATTGACTTCTGACATAACTGAAATAATGTTAGTTAAACCTATTCGTCGCTGCTGTCACAATTGAGCGATTTTGGTTTATGAACAAAATTGTGTAAAGAAAACAAAAACAAGAAGAAAAAAGAAAGAAAAAATATTTAAACACAATTAATGACATTTATATTTTGAGTACTTTGTTTTTGTATATTGCTGTTGTTGTCGCTGGTCTCTGCTGCGTATCTTTTAGTTTTAATTGCAGCCAGATTGTAAACCGCTTTGGGCCAAGACTCTGCTGCCTTAATTTGTGGCATTTTGCAGGGCAAATATTTAGCTGTACGCTTAATGAGCATAAAATAATTAAGGCCGCATTTAATTTGCCTTAACAAAAAAGCCCAAAAAGAACTGCTCTCAAGGGTATGGAAAGGGAAAGGATGCGGAAACAGGAATCACAATCGACGAGGCAAGGCTCCGGGACTTAACGACTTCATTCGAAGTTCAACAGTCGGAAGTCGGTATTATTTATTATTATCTTCTGAGGCTGCCCATTGACCACTTCCCCACTAATTTACCCCTGAAAGCACACTCCTTGCCCACAATATCACGCCCCAATGGCCAGCGCCGATCCATTAAGAAGTCCCCACAAAAATATACTTCGAGGGAAAAAAATTAAAAAGTGAAACACGTTTCTTTACAATTTTTGTGCTTATTGGCCACAGCCTGGTCACCTGGCTAGGTGGCTAGCTGACTGGCTTCTTTGGCTTATTATGCAATCCGAGAGAGCAACACGAGACTGGATTGGTATGGTTAGAAAATCATTAAAAAATAGCACAAGCATTTGCGTAAAGAAATTTCAAAATGCCAAATGCGAAAATTTGATTGACCTAAATACGGTTTTATAACCACATCGATATCCACATCCACATCCAGTATATATGGCAACTGGATGTGTTGCAATTGCCACATGCCACTGTGCCGCTGTCCAGCGAAGCTTTCTAACAGCTGACCACGACGACGACGACGGCGGCGACGATACCCAACCCGATTCCAGCACCAGCTCCAGGTCTAGCCAAGAGACTGGGCTTCAGACTCACTTTCAATTGCACTTTGCACATGGCAAAAAAGGTAGTTCCTTTCTTTCATAATCTCAAGAAGTTCAATCAAAATTTTAAAGTACTGAAAAGTTCATGAGTATCCAAATTAAATGCAGAGGTATTCTGATATTACTTTATGTTCTCGTCTCATTCTCAGCTTTAATTCAATATAATATTTGTCTCTGTGCATTAGCAGAAGTAGGTTGCTTGGCCAGCAGGCCACCAAGATACTGAGCCACTAAAGTTAGCCGCTCTGTCTGCCTGAATTCGAGAAATACAAAAATAAGGCAGCGTTCGTTGGCATTTGCCGAAATGTTGCTGCAGTTGCTGTTGCCGTTGCCGCTGTGGATGTTGCATGTTGCTCGCGTGCATTTCTAAGTGTGAGTCAAGAGGTGCGCCTTCTTTGGCGCCTAGACTATATTGGCCCGATTTGTGATCAATTTTCCCGGGTTGATATCAGTTTCGGGAAAACCAACATAACATATAAGATGTGAGTTTAATGGTTAATAAGATTGGGCAAAGCTTTGGCAATGGCTGGGAATATTTATTTGAATGTGGTTCAGTATTTCTCAAAAGCAATTAAAACACTATTCTTATTGAATTGTTTATTTTCCCTTCCTTAAGTATAAAATATAATATTTAAAGAGTTCCATTAATCATCCAAGGCAGACACCTGCCAAAAAACCGAATAATATATTTCAAAATTAAATAAAAGCGAATGATTTTGATTTAATAACCTCTCAGGTATGCTGCCTCCTGGGTTTTGCCGCTACACATCTGTATAAATATTACAAAAAGATATATATTTTTCCCCCTCAACTACCATGTTGAGTGCATCTCAAGTTCGCTGCTTTCCTTGAGTCATGTTGCCTCTTGCCAAACAGTAGCCAACAACCAGCCACTCCGCTTCTCTGTCTCCTCTCGGCAGTTGTTTGTTTTGGTTTCTTGGCACTGCAGTTGCTGCTGTTTCTGCTGCTGCTGCTGCTGTTGCTGATTTAATAATAATTTCACACAGCAGTTTCAGGTTGCCGTCTGCAGTCTGCAGTCTGCAGTAGTGCGAAGGTCACGCGCCACTTTTCTCTTTGCAGGCTCTTGTATTTATCCCCAGATCCAGTTTGGTGCGAGAGTGCGAGATTTTCGGCCTGTTTTATGCATTTTTAATAAATTTCTGCTTAATTTTGTTGGCAGCCAACGCTTTATAATTTTATAGTTATTTTTTGTTATTTCTCCATTCGTATTTATTACATATATAAAATATCAATTTTTTGGGGGAATCATCAGCGCTTCCTTGTGCTGCACCGCCTGATTACAGAGAGCGCTCTTGAATGGCTTCATAAGCCATGGCCAAGTGGAGGAACCAAAAGAGCTGAGCCCTCGAAAGGGCCTGGCCTTTCATAATTGGCATTGTTGGGAACGCGTTGATTGGCAAATTGTATGCAATTATTGAAACTGCGCAGGCAGTCCACTTTTTTTCGGTTTCCGATATCACATCCCAAAGGGTTCGTTCATCTCGCCACTGCTGTTGACATTGAGATAAACATAAAAATCTATACGGAAGTTTCCGTAATCGAACCCAGAAGTGGTTGGTCGCTCATTTAGCTCTAATTGCAGCCTGAACTACGGGGCAGGGCATTTATTTGGTTTTGCCCCCATCGCTACACGGAAATAAATAAAGTTTTAGTGTACTAAAAATAGAACAAAATCGAAGGGAATCAAACAAGGTAGAAAATAAATATTTCAAGTAAACTGTTCCATTAAAATCAAGTTAAATAAATACTTCTTTATTATTATTATTTGCTACATGAGTTTTCCGCTTGGCAGCACCACACTTTCCTTAGCCCGTATATGAGCTCTTCTTATGCCATGTATATATATATGTGTACATAGTGTTTTGTTTTCAGCGAAAGCTTTTAGACATATTTACATGTGTTCATTCATAGCTCACCTCGCCAGGCCAAGCGCAACAAATCATTCTTTAAATGGTAGTAACTGCAGCCATGTAAACAATTTAAATGGCATTAAGTAATGCAACATTCACATTCAACTTGATGTAATAATAATTATAATTATTGTTGTTTTAATAAATTGAAAAATTAAATGTAGCAAGTTCAGAGTGAAAATTTTGAAACGAAAGACTTAGGCAACGAACTTGATATTGTATGCAGTGAGAATGGAGCAGGAATTAAATTCTGAGTAAGGCAAAGGTTTTTGGAAGTATATGTTAACAGACTTTTAATGAAGAGAACATTGCCATTGTCTTAGTAGAAAATTTAGTTATTAAGGTCAATTACCTCGAGGGAATTAAGAATCATTTAAAGGAAATTAACTCTTTAATACTTTTAAAGCCCAAAGTTCAAAAACATTTTTGATTTTCTCATTTCTCAGAAAACAAAGCCAAGACATTTGTTTAATTTCCATTAAATAATATATATCAAAATGAA